CACTTTCTAACTAGATGTTTAACTAACAAACCAGCTAGTCGGTTAGCTTACGAACTAGCTATTTAGCTAACTCTTTAGTTAATTAGTTACCTCTTTAAATGATAAATGATCTGCCCTTGTATAGTGCCTCTCAGAGTAAGGACTCCAAAGCGCTTTACACCACAGTGTATCATTCATCCATTCACACACTGATGGTGATGAGCTACGATGTAGCCACAGCCGCCCTGGGGCACACTGACATAGGCGAGGCTGCCGAGTAAAGGCACCACCGGTCCCTCCGACCACCACCAGCAGGCAAGGTGGGTTAAGTGTCTTGCCCAAGGACACAACAGCAGAATTCTCTGTCTGGAGCTGGGATCGAACCTGCAACCTTCCGATTACTGGACAGCCCGCTCAACCTGTTGAGCTACTGTTGCTCCATATATAAATATATATATATATACACACACACACACACACACACACACACACACACACACACACACACACACATTGTATTGTTTTTATGGTTTTTATATATTTCTGTAAGAATTCTATCATTAAAACCTACTCAGGATACAGTTTTGATAATTCCAACAAGTCAGTCTTAAAATCTCCCAGCAGATTTAACACCGCTGTATGTCTAAGCCGTCTGAGATGAAAGTCTGTCTCTGAGAAACAGCCGTGGAGTTTGAACTCTGAACCATAGCTGAGTCTCTGCAGCGGCCCTCAGATGTGTGATCATAATGAGAATCCAGACTAATTTGGGCCCAGTTCACTCATCAATACTAACTAAGTGGATTTGATACTCCTTCAGACTTGATTATGTAATTATAGAGACTTTGGTAATGACTGATGCTACCCATTTTTAATGCTAATGTGGAAATGTTTATTTTGATGTGTGCTTTAATACAGCGAGACGTTCCTCCTCAGGTGCAGCCGTGCCGGTAAACTTCCCTGGATTAGTTCTCGTCCTACTAGCGTTATCCTTGATGGCAGTTTTTAATTTTGGGCCTCAGGGATTCTGGCTTATTATCCTTGTGAGGAAATGCATTTACAGTCTGCGAGCAGCAAAGCTGTCCTCTGAGGATGAAGATCTGTTTGCTCTCTCTCAGCAGTCAAAGTAAACCAAAGCATGATCTTGAACTCATGCAGGCCACAAGTACTGATTTGTTTCCAGTTAACAGAAAGGTTTCGTGAAATATATGAAATGGAGGCCGACCCCCCGAGTGGCCCTTTAAAGAGAGCAACAGGTTATGGTTGGCGACTGGTAGCCCTGGTCTTGAATAGCATCCAGAGTCACCGATAAACAGAACGCTGGTGAAGCTGAGACAGAGCCAGGAAACCGAGGAGCTTGTTGCTAATCCAGGGTTACGTGGCACTACTGGTGAGGTAATGATAACAATGGATTAGGGTTATGAAGCACACACTGCTGGTGATGGTACCCTGCTACAGAGGCGAGGCTGTCTTTTGCACCATCGGCCCCTCTGACCACCACCAACACAGGCAAGTCGGCAGAAGACCCCTGGTGGGAGCTGGGATTGATCCCACAACCCTCCGATCTCTGGTCTACCTCCATGCTTTGCCAGATGTTCCAGACGTTACCTGTCAAAGCCCCACCCACCCTAGACTGCTGCAGGCCAGGGACAGAGGCCCGTTGTGGCTGTGTGCTAGTCTCGTCTGTTTTTGATCGTCTCTAATCAACAGATTTATCTCAGGTAATATTTTGTTGTTGAGGAGAAGCCACGTCCTGTCCCACAGTCCCAGACATCAGGAGACAAATGAGGGACAAAACGTCACATGAAGAAAAGAAAGAGTGAGTGAAACGAGCCGACTGGAGGAGGAGAGTGATGGAGATTTTAGAGCGTATGTTCCGGCTTTCCGACATTCTTATCGCCCATTAGGAATAAATGAGCGTCTCTTGTTTCCCTCGTTCAGTGTCTCTCCTGCCATAACTCTCCTGTCCTGTCATCTTCTTCCTGTGTCTGCTTCTGTCGCGTTAATCTCATCCCTCAGCCACATTTCCACAAGAGTTTTACAACAAATCAGAGCCGCAGCAGCGCCTGTTGTCTGACAAGCCTTTGCTTTCATTTGCTTGTTCTGCTTTCCCAGTGTGACATTCCCATCTCCGTCTTCCTGAACCTTATCATTTCAGAACATAACGGGTTCCCCAGGAAACCGTCGGAGTTGAATTTTTAATGACTTTCAGAGGAAGAAAAATCTCGGAATGACAAAAACCTGAGATCATAATCTTGGTTTTGTTTTTTTGTTCAGTTTTTTTCTTTTCAGCAGCAAAACTTTAAATGACGTCAGAGCCACACAAGTGACTCGTGTTGTTCCTCCGCTTTAGGGTTAAAGGGGCATTATGGAAGTTTGACAGCCAAAACATGTATAGAAATAATAAATGTCTTCTTCATACATTCTCCTGCAATGCCCTGGTCCTGTAGAATGAGCCCTGGCATTTTTACTGTGATTGCCTGTTTTTCTGTAAAATCACAGAAAAAGAGAGCTGCTCGGGTCGAGCAGGCTGCTTCATGCGCGTTCACGCTCAGGCATCGCCCGTAGCATTTGCTATCAGTAGCTTTAGCAGCAGAGAGAGAGGCAGTGCCAACTCAGCGACTTTGTCGCTGTTCCTAACGCCTAGTGATGAACCTAGCTACATTTCTGAGGACCCATAGCTACTTTCTTCTAGATATTTCCTGCAAATTAGCAACAAAATAGCCATTTTCGCTCCGAACCGTTCTTTGAATGTTGTTTTAGCTGTCATCAAGGATATAAATTTTACAGATGCCAAAGACATCTTTGGTGCTTTAGCTCACCTAGCTAGACGTCAGACTCTCGTGCAGGAGACCTGGGTTTGATTCTGGATGTAAACGTAGTTTATTTAGATTTTATTTTTTACATTAATGGTATATTTTTTACTGTAAGATGCCCAAATTGTTATTTGAGACTCGCCGAACGGCATTGAATTCACAGATAAAAAAGATGTGGGTTCAACTTTCATTTTGCTTCCCTCTGAAACAGAAGTCTGAGAGCGTGCTTCCCTCTGAAACAGAAGTCTGAGAGCGTGCTTCCCTCTGAAGCAGAAGTCTGAGAGCGTGCTTCCCTCTGAAGCAGAAGTCTGAGAGCGTGCTTCCCTCTGAAACAGAAGTCTGAGAGCGTGTTTCCCTCTGAAGCAGTAGTCTGAGAGCGTGCTTCCCTCTGAAACAGAAGTCTGAGAGCGTGCTTCCCTCTGAAACAGAAGTCTGAGAGCGTGCTTCCCTCTGAAGCAGAAGTCTGAGAGCGTGCTTCCCTCTGAAACAGAAGTCTGAGAGCGTGCTTCCCTCTGAAACAGAAGTCTGAGAGCGTGCTTCCCTCTGAAACAGAAGTCTGAGAGCGTGCTTCCCTCTGAAACAGAAGTCTGAGAGCGTGCTTCCCTCTGAAACAGAAGTCTGAGAGCGTGCTTCCCTCTGAAACAGAAGTCTGAGAGCGTGCTTCCCTCTGAAACAGAAGTCTGAGAGCGTGCTTCCCTCTGAAACAGAAGTCTGAGAGCGTGCTTCCCTCTGAAGCAGAAGTCTGAGAGCGTGCTTCCCTCTGAAGCAGAAGTCTGAGAGCGTGCTTCCCTCTGAAACAGAAGTCTGAGAGCGTGCTTCCCTCTGAAACAGAAGTCTGAGAGCGTGCTTCCCTCTGAAGCAGAAGTCTGAGAGCGTGCTTCCCTCTGAAACAGAAGTCTGAGAGCGTGCTTCCCTCTGAAACAGAAGTCTGAGAGCGTGCTTCCCACTGAAGTAGAAGTCTGAGAGCGTGCTTCCCTCTGAAACAGAAGTCTGAGAGCGTGCTTCCCTCTGAAACAGAAGTCTGAGAGCGTGCTTCCCTCTGAAGCAGAAGTCTGAGAGCGTGCTTCCCTCTGAAGCAGAAGTCTGAGAGCGTGCTTCCCTCTGAAACAGAAGTCTGAGAGCGTGCTTCCCTCTGAAGCAGAAGTCTGAGAGCGTGCTTCCCTCTGAAACAGAAGTCTGAGAGCGTGCTTCCCTCTGAAACAGAAGTCTGAGAGCGTGCTTCCCTCTGAAACAGAAGTCTGAGAGCGTGCTTCCCTCTGAAGCAGAAGTCTGAGAGCGTGCTTCCCTCTGAAGCAGAAGTCTGAGAGCGTGCTTCCCTCTGAAACAGAAGTCTGAGAGCGTGCTTCCCTCTGAAACAGAAGTCTGAGAGCGTGCTTCCCTCTGAAGCAGAAGTCTGAGAGCGTGCTTCCCTCTGAAACAGAAGTCTGAGAGCGTGCTTCCCTCTGAAACAGAAGTCTGAGAGCGTGCTTCCCTCTGAAGCAGAAGTCTGAGAGCGTGCTTCCCTCTGAAACAGAAGTCTGAGAGCGTGCTTCCCTCTGAAACAGAAGTCTGAGAGCGTGCTTCCCTCTGAAACAGAAGTCTGAGAGCGTGCTTCCCTCTGAAGCAGAAGTCTGAGAGCGTGCTTCCCACTGAAGTAGAAGTCTGAGAGCGTGCTTCCCTCTGAAGCAGAAGTCTGAGAGCGTGCTTCCCACTGAAGTAGAAGTCTGAGAGCGTGCTTCCCTCTGAAGCAAAAGTCTGAGAGCGTGCTTCCCTCTGAAGCAGAAGTATAAATGCAGCTTGAGACTGCTGCCATGTTCTGCTCCCTTCTCATGCTCTGGCCAACTTCTAGTTCCTGAAACAGGAGCGCCAGAGCTTTGTTCCCCCAGAGATCATTTATACGAGCTGTACTGCAGATGTGTTGGAACTTGGTCTGTAAGCTGCTGGAAGCATTGGTTTGTTAGTAAAGTGTCGCTGACACGCAGAACGACGACTCAAAGTGGGCAAGAAGCGCTCGTAAAGGCTTCAGTGGAGATCAGCTGACAGCAGAAACATCCCAGTCGGTGACGGAAAACCGAGGGAAGCTTCTGCACCGCTGACTCAGTCTGGATGTTACAAGTCTGATGGAAGGAATTCAAATTAGAATTTGACTTGTCAGATTGTGTTTGGTTCTTCTCTTATCCACGCAGGAAGGAACCCCCGAATAATAAAACCAGGTTGTGTGTTTTACAGTGCAGTGCCACACAGACTGCCTGTCCTGTCTGGGGACTCCTGACCACTGTGAGAGCTGCAGAAACCCCAAAGCTCTCCTCCATCTTGGTCGCTGCCTTTCTGTCTGTCCGCCGGGCTTTTATTCTGAAGGACAAGGCTGTACAGGTAACGATTTCCTTTCTTTAAATGTGGGCCTGACGCAAATAGTAAAAAGTCATGTTTGTATTAAAAACACAGAAGTTCTGACTGTGAAACAAAAAAGTAAATGTTTTACTGTCTGGTTTTAGTGTGCAGGGCATTTATAATAATTATAATATACAATATAATAATGCTGCAGCTGCAGAACAAACCCGATGCATCCTCTCTGTTATCACATGGTTGTGGCGTTACGACCAGCAGCTACAACAACAACTTGGCACCTCCTAGATTACTTACAGTTAGACGCACAAGCACATAAATGTCCATTATTTAGCTGAAAAGCTAATGGAACAAGGAGCTAATGCTGCCAAAATGTTTAATAAACAGAAATTCACACACATGCATGCTTTTATGTAGGCTAAATAATTCTAGGAGTTTATTATCTGGTCAGGGTTTATTTATCGGCTAATGAATGTTTTCAGAGGCAGGGTCGTTTGGCTTCTGTTCACAAACAGGTGTGTGTTTTCGTCCCACTGTTGGTTCTACGTTCCTGTTGGAGTTAGTTAGGGTTAGGGTTTTTCTCAGACTTTTTTAAGTTTAAGATGTTTGAGTCAAAAACAGAAAAAAGTGCTTTTAAACTAAGAGTCTGCAGAGTTCTCCTTTTTAGTTGTGAAACGTGGCAAATCCTGCTGCAGGTCCAGTCCTGAGCAAGGGACTATCAAAGGATTTGGTAACGCTTCCGTTTACAGTCCTGTAATTACTAAGTACTTATATGGTAATCACATAGTTACAGTGTATAATAGTAATAAAGTGTATTATTGTGTGAAGCAGTATTTACTGGGAAGGATTCATACAAATAAAAGCTAGAATTGAACCTGAGTTACATGGTTATAACTGACCTCAGAAACAATATTACACTTGAACTTACTGTGTAATTACTATGTAAGTACTTAGTAATTAGGGGACTATGAAAGGAAGCGTTACCTAGAGCTTGTTTTTACCGGTTCTGACATGTCGGCTCTCTCTGGAGCCTTCATCAGAACTTTCGCTGATGTTGGCGGCGAAGCTTCCTTCTGTGTTTATCTGCGCTGTTGTTGTTCTGTGTTTATGGCCCGAGTACTGTCCCTGTCCATTATATGATGAGAAATAGGGAGCCTAAGTCTACTTCCGCACCACGGATCCCCGGAAGAACGAATAAACGAACGCAAGTCAATGAGGCTAAAAGCTAAACGTTATTTTCTAACCCGCGTTGCCTCACGCCCTGGATCACACACATGTTCTACTGCAGTTTAAATGAAAAGCAATGATGGTGTTTCGACCACGCCTGTCACGTACTTTGAGGTTTATCAGCTTGTAAAAATTCGTAATTAGCATGCTACACACCAGAAATCAGCACGTCGCATATGTGACATCACCACATAAGCTCCTCCCCCTAGCATTGCTGCTACGTACCACATGGCCAGATTTATGGCGGTTCTTTCCTCCTGTGGGACGTTTGCTGAACTTACAGCCCTTTTCCCTGTTTTCTCCCTGTCTGGTTTGATGACGTCACTTTGGTGAAGCACATTTGTAGTCCTGGACTTATTTTCACACAAAACCTAAAATATCGTTCCCCGTTCAAAAATAAACGTGTTCTTAGTATCAAAATGCTTCTTTAAAATTCACGGACATCATGTGTGAAATCCATGACACAAAACAAGCGGGTTAGAAAATAGCATTTTTAGCCCCGTTGACTTGTTTGTTTGTTTTGATTTGTTCGTTATTCCGGGGAACCGTGGTGCGGAAGTGACTTAGGCTCCCTATGGATGAGAAAATGGTAAATTGCACTGGGACAACACACGGATCATAAACAACAATACAGAAGATGGACCAGAGAGGCCATAGACATGAGGAGGCATGGACCCAGGAGTTTACAGGATGGACCACTCATGGTGATCCACAGAGGAGTCGCGGCCAGAGGACGATATCGATATAAACAGGGAAGGAAGCTACGCCACCAACATTGGCGAAAGCTCTGATGAAGGCTCCAGAGAGAGCAGAACCGTAAAAACAAGTTCTGTTTACTCAGTTTTAGAGAATAACCAGGAAAATGGAATCAGAGATGGAACACTGGAGGAACCGAGTCTCATAGTTGGGTTCTGCTGAAGTCTCGTCTCTTTCAGGGTAAAACCGTCAGAGAACCACAAGCTTTTAATTTGTTAAATAAAAGGTTTATTGTGCTAAACTGCAGGAGCTCTGATCGTCCTCAGTGCTCGGTTCCCATATGAAAAGAAAATTCCCCCCCCCTTTTCCCGCAGCATGCCCGTCCTCCTGTGCCACCTGTTCCAGCAGGTGGGTCTGCCAGTCCTGCAGCCCCCAGCGACCTGTTCTGAGCCCGGAGAGAGACCAGTGTCTGGTTGCATGTCCTCCTGGGTCCTACCAGCAGGACCACACACGCTGCGTCCGTAAGTATCCGCACCAGACCTGAGGTCTGTCAGCGTTTCTAGGGGACTCTCCTCATCCCTCCTCCTCCGAGGTTAACCTCATCAGTTCATTCTTGTTGTTCTAGACAAGTGAAACATCTCTATCCATCCTCTCCTTCACCCAGGCTGCCATGAGTCCTGCTCGGAGTGTCGAGGCCCGAGTCAGCAGAACTGTTCCTCATGTTCAGAACCAGCTGCTCTCCTACAGGACGGCGTGTGCGTCTCTGACTGCGGTCCTGGCTTCTACAGCCAGGACGGCGTCTGCTACGGTAACACTGACTCATCTTTACACCAGAAAACCTCTGAACCACACACACACTTGTCTCTGTATCCTAGTGTGAACCCTCCATTTACTTCCATTCACCTTAGTGACCCCACTAACCCTAACCATAACCAATGCTGTTCTATTCCTAATCCTAATCTAAACCCAAAGTTAATCCACACCAACCTGAAAAACACGTTATTTTGTCTTTGCATGGACCAGCCAGATGTCCCCACAATGTGCAAATGTCCACACACACTACAGGGTAAAAGTTAAGACACACACACACACACACACACACACACACACACACGCACTTACTTACGCATGCATGCACACACACACACACACACACACACACGCACTTACGCACGCATGCATGCACACACACACACACACACACATGCACGCACACACGCACTTATGCACGCACGAACGCACCCACGCACTCACACACACACACACACACACACACACACACACACATGCACGCACACACACACACACGCGCACACACGATCATTTGTAGCTACATTAGCCATTAGCTAGGTGTAGAACCGTGTAGACGACAAGCGGAGCTGCGTTTACTTTGGTTGGATTGAAAGATCTGCCCCAAGCTCCTCACTCCCGTGACTCAGGGGGACAACGGGGGGCCTGCTCAGTCAGCAACAAACCACGCCCACCAGCTCAAACATCCTGGAAGGCTCCAGAAACGCTGGAGATGCCTAATGCTTTTAGAGTCCAGGCTAAACGAAACATCTGACTGCAGATGTGACGGAATATTCTAACAGAGGAACCCAGAGGTGAAGGTTGTGTGTGTTTGCAGCCTCCAGTGGAGCTTCTCTCCATCCTGATTAGTCAGCAGTTGGCAAACAAGTTAATAAACAAACAAGCTAATAATTAGCAGCTCCTTCTTCACTAATGAGGAGTCAGAGGCCTCTCTTCTAAAAGGAGGTGCAGCATGAATATGGATGGGTTCTATTTTTGAGTTGTGAAACAACGACTGGAAGGAACCAGCGCCGGCGCTCCGCACACGCACACCACGCACAGCGCGTAGGGCACCACGCCAGGGAAGGGGCACCAAACGCAAGCTTATGAAAAATAATATATATATGATAAAGACAGATTTCAATTAGAAGATGTGCAAAGCAAGTTAACAGCATGTTTACAGAGAGAAAACAATACAAAAAGGAAAGGAGATGGACCGTGTCTACTTTTCACTCTGTCCGGGGCGTCCGGGCTGGGGGTTCTTGTTGAAAATGTCCGGCTTTTCATCCAGGAGCAGGGATCGAATTATGGGGGAGCTGTATATCCTACACATCCATGGGAGCCGGAAAAAAGTTTTCTACCTATATTACATCATTTATGGACTCTTTGGAGCAGAGAGCACAGACAGCGACACAGCGCTGCGTTGTTGCGCAGCTCTCCAGGCGGCTGCTTCCAGCGCACGGTCCATTCTCAAAGTGGCGCAACCAAAAAACTATAATTAACACACAATCGTTCATGTCCGCTCATGCTCTCTACTTTCTGTCTTATTTGTGCCTGGCGCTCTGCCACTGCGGAGCTCATCACCTGTGCTGCGGAGATTTCACCTCACTGACGCAGCATTGAATCGTGCACTCCGCTTTGTGGTCAGGAGATCCCTTTGATCTGCTCAAAAGTAACTGATGAGGTGAAAAAGTAAGAATCCAGGTAGCAGATTTTCTGGAGAGTTTAGAGGAGATGCAGGAAGATGAGAGACAGACAGGACAGGAAAATAGTTATATAAAAACAAGAAAACAAAATAAATTGTTGAAAAGTAAAATGTAGGTAGATTTATCTCCACACATACACACACACTAAATATCAATCCTACATTTTGGAAAATAATAAGCAGTTTGTGCATACAAGAGAATTAAAGAGAATTTAAGGCGAAGCGCTTGCACATATTGTGTTATTGTGTTGTTTTATCTGTATGTGTGTGTGTGGGGGGGGGGGGGGGGGGGGGCACCACGAAGCCTTTGTGCTTGGGGCACCAAAATAGCAAGCAACAGCCCTGGAAGGAACGATCCTCCCTCAGGGCCGCGGTGAACTTGGTCACTAAGCTCTTTCTGTAGCTGAGGCTGTTCTCTTCTGCTGCTGATGGGAAATGTCAGAACCTTCAGGAGAAAGGTCACGTCCAGTGCAACCTGTCGGTCCTTCTGGTTTTAAAAGTCAACGTGGTGAAGTCCCTGCATCTGGAAGAGAGTGGGCTTGTGCAGGTTTCCAGTGCCTCAGGGTTGTCATTTATGTAATCATCTCTTTATCCAGGTGTTCTCCATCAGTCACATTGCAGCTCCCCAGTTCCTTCGCTTTAGGACTTCCTGGTGTTCTGAAGCTTTGGTCTTCACCATCGGCTATGTTCAAACTAAATGACTAGTTAGTGGGGTTCTTCTCACTGGTAGATTTACCACTTGATAGGATGTAACGTGAGGATGGTTTGTTTGGAGAACCCACAATAGAACACTTGTTTATGTGTGGAACAACTCCGTCCTTCTGACTGAGGACAGCCATGTTTTAGGGCGTTCCTGGTGAGTGGAAGTGGTGTTCTGGCTGTCTTTGATGCTGTTAACAGTCACATGCTCCGTTTCACAGCTTGTGATTGGTCCTGCGCCTCCTGTTTCCCTGACAACCCCAAATGCATGAGCTGCCCTGTGGGGGCTGCGTTGCATCATGGGAAGTGTATTACTCAGTGTCCGCCTCAGCATTACCTGGATGGCCACAGCAGATGCAGAGGTAGGTGGAGGTTTTCTGGACCTTCTGAGTGATGATGTAAAAATCAGAAACCAAACTCCTGGTCTCCTCAGCCTGCCACAGCTCCTGCGCCTCCTGCTGGGGTCCTTCTGTGTCCCAGTGCTCCTCCTGTCCAGGTGGGCTCCTGCTCCACCAGGGTCAGTGTGTGGAGTCCTGTGGGGAGGGTCTGTATGCTCAGGACAGCAGCTGCCACAGTGAGACACCTGATTTATAATAATTAACACGAGAACTTTTCCTCCTCCCTCACTGCTGATGTTTCACCTCCTTCCAGATTGTCACCCCTCCTGCCGCTCCTGTGTGGGACCTCTGGCCTCAGACTGCCTCCGCTGCCTGAAACCAGAGGATGTTCTCCTTCCTCAGTCTGCTCTCCTTCAGCACGGCGTCTGCACAGCTGGATGTGCTGCACGCAGCTTCCTGGACCACGCGCTGATGTGCCGAGGTGAGAACTCAATCCCAGATTCCTCTTCTTCCCTGTTGACACCTGAACAGTTTCTTCTTCTCAGCTTTAAGGAATTCAGATCATTGTGTGTTCCTGGTTTCTTTGTCACGCCTCAGAGCTGATTTGTGGGTTAGGGTTTCAGAGCGCGTGAACCTGATGGTGCAGCTGTTCTCATCGTCAGAGTTCCTTCTCGCCGCAGCGACACGGACGTTCACGCCTGGTGATGTTTTCCTGGAACTCTGCTTCTAGATAAGAGGCAGTCTCTTTCCATTTTAGTACAGTGTTCTTGTTAGGACAGCCATCGTCTTCGGACTTCAGATGAAGTCATCGAGTGGGTTAGGCATGCTGGAAGTGTAGGAAGGTCCACACAAGCACATCCATCAAAGCGCCTCTCAAGGTAAAAATCACCCTGTGTCCATGCTTTCGTTCTTTTTTAAACACAGAAACAGTTTTGTTTACCTGTTTGTAGCTACAGTTTCGCCGCCGGCTGCCGGCTGCCGGCTTCTTCAGGCTGACGCTGATGGTGGCGCGTCACTTCCTTCTCCGTTTATCTGCGGGCAGCAGAGGACGTTGTCGCCCTCTACTGCCCGCTCTCCCCTCTCCGACGATGCAGTCCCATGCGTGGTCCAGCGTGTAAACTCCGTCGTCCCTGTTCATGATCTCACATCCACGTCTCCTTATCTCGATTGCTTCCTTGATCCATCTTTTGTATTTTTGTTGTTCGGTGGTTATGATCCGTGTGTTGTCCCAGTCCATTATATGGTTTTCTCTTAAGCAATGATCTGTTACGGCTGACTTTTTTATTGTACTTTCTGCTTCTTCTTTTGCTGCTCTTGTGTGTTTACGATTTGCCTCTTTCTCGCACTCCTTTCTGTGTTCTATTGTCCGTGTATTGAGTTGGCGTCCGGTTTCTCCTACGTATGTTTTATTGCATATTTTGCATGGGATTTCGTAGATGACTCCACATTTTTGTCCAGCTGATATTTTGTCTTTTGGGTGCACTAGTCTGTTTCTAACTGTTGTGTATGGCTTTGTTGGTGTGTTTATGTTGTGTTTTTTCATTGTTGCTCTTATTTTTTCCGTTATGCCTCTGATGTATGGTAGGGTTATCACTGGTTTTGGTTCTTGTCTTTCTGGGTTTCTGGTTCTTTTTTTGGGTTGTTCTTTGCTTTCTGTTTTTGTTTGTTGTTTTCCTTTGTTTATCGCCCATGTCGGGTATGCACAGGTCTTTAAAGCGTGTTGTATGTGTTTGTCCTCTTGTTTACGGTCTCTCTCTTCTGTTATTATGTTTGTTCGGTGATATAATGTTCTGATTACTGACATTTTGTGTATGGTGGGGTGTTCTGATGTCCAAGCCGGCAGCCGTCGGCGAAACTGTAGCTACAAACAGGTAAACAAAACTGTTTCTGTGTTTAAAAAAGAACGAAAGCATGGATTTAGAAAGACACAGCAAGAACACACCTAAGATCACCCTGTGTAGCTCCACCCTTAAGGTGACCGGCACCTAGTGAAGCTGGACAAGAAGCGGGGTGATGTGGGTGTGTCTGGAGTTGTTGGTCCTTCTGAAGCACCTATAAATGGTTCAGGGAGGTTCTGCTCAGACACGTGAAGAGCAGATTTTCTTTCTTTTCTCAGTCGTTAAAACACAAAGACAACAGTTTCCTGTCTGGTTTGTGGATCTCATCACACTTGTGTCCTTATTTGGCAGGAAGCAGTTTTTCCTCTTATCAACATTTCTCTCCGCTCTCATCTTTGCTGAAGCTGTTTATGTTCTCACACCCACTCAGAGAAGAACTCTGCTTTTATAGCAGCGAGCTTGAGAAGTCCACAACAGATTTCTGCAGGAATAAACTAGCTACCGGTGTTGTGACTATTTGTCAAACGAATAATTTGTAAGCTTTTACTTACTTTTTGGATTCATCAATGAATTCGTAAATATGGAAATATTTACTGATTTATTAATTAATTTGGATATTAGAATATCCATGGGGCCGCACCCCTTTTAACAGGGGAAACATTGAATCCAAACCTCTTATCAATCTTGTCTAAACGTTCTGTGAATCTTAACGAGCTGCAGTTAAATTTCATACCACACAAACCATCTCAATCTGACACAAAAATCTTAATTGGCAATACATTTATTAACTAATAATCACTTCAGCTCCTTCTGAAGCGTTTAGCCAATCAATATTAACCAACTTATTTTATCAACAACAATTAACAATGAAACAATGAAATGATCCTGTAAAACAATCTGACCCAATAAGTGTGTGTTTTAGTCTTGTGTCCTCCTAAACACTAAAAACAAGTGTGTGTGTGTGTTTGTGTGTGTGTGTGTGTGTGTGTGTGTCTGTCTGTCTGTCTGTCTGTCTGTCTGTCTGTGTGTGTGTGTGGGTGGGTGGGCAACTTGCACTTTAAACTTCCGAAGCACTTTCAATCACAGTAACTTAAACCAAACTTCAAAAACCGCTTAAAAAAATCAAGAAACAACACAAAATATCAATCATAAATGAAATCTAATAGTTTGTCAGCCTGGCCACAGCAGAAAACTATTTAAGATATTAAACAATGACAAACAAACAAACGGCTTACTCTTAAAAGGATCCGATGGCGTTTTTGGTACAAAAGAGAGACTGTTTTCTATTTTGAAGCAAATTGCGCAGTGTGACTACTTATTCTGGCTTATTAGAGAGAAAACGGGAAGAGAAAGATAGATAGAAAAAAAACTTTGAACAAACGAAACAGCGAGGCGTCCCCCACTGTTCAATCAGAGTTCTCCGTTGATTTGATGGTTTTCCGCTGCTTTCCAGCGGTTCGGTGTCCTCACACATCCGGAGTCATAGCAGCGAGCGATCTCTCACACATCAGCTGAAGCTGAGCACAAGGAGAGCAGATCTGATGGTTTTCCGCTGCTTTTCAGCGGTTCTGTGTTCGATCCACTTCAGCAGCCAGGCCTCCCGCGTGCTGTCCGGAGCCGTAGCAACTACAGCAGTTGAACTGAACAAAAGACGAGATAAGTTTCGTTCTGTCTGGGATTTATAGCTTTCAGCGGTCCGGCGAGAAGACTCTGTGTGGTCCCAGCACATGCGCAGAAATTGTGTTCCGGGGTTCGACGGTGACGTCATCACGTTGCTTCCGGCTAAAGGAATCATGGGAAATGAAGTCTCTCTTGGCGCTGGAATTTATTATCTGCTTTTTCAGAGCGCAGATGACACAGTTTTAGGAGAAAATGCTGCGTAGCAATTTTCTCATGAGGGCAGACGCTCCAGGGCAATTTTGGCACAGTCTTTTGGAGAAATTACTGCATAGTAATTTTCTCATGAGGGTAGACCCTCAACACCAGTTTAAACTAGTTATTTTCTCTTAATCAAAACTGACCTGGTGTCGTTAGCTTTCACATCTTCTGTGTTTCCTGATGAACGTACAGTACACTTCAGATGAAACCAAAGTAGAACTTTTTGGTATAAACTCAACTCGTCGTGTTTGAAGGAAGAAGAATACTGAGTTGCATCCCAAGAACACCATACCTACTGTGAAGCATGGGGGTGGGAACATCATGCTTTGGGGCTGTTTTTCTGATAAGGGGACAGGACGACTGATCCGTGTTAAGGAAAGAATGAATGGGGCCATGTATCATGAGATTCTGAGCCAAAACCTCCTTCCATCAGTGAGAGCTTTGAAGATGAAACGTGGCTGGGTCTTCCAACACGACAATGATCCCAAACACACCGCCCGGGCAACAAAGGAGTGGCTCTGTAAGAAGCATTTGAAAGTCCTGGAGTGGCCTAGCCAGTCTCCAGACCTCAACCCCATAGAAAATCTGTGGAGGGAGTTGAAAGTCTGTGTTGCTCGGCGACAGCCCCAAAACATCACTGCTCTCGAGAAGATCTGCATGGAGGAATGGGCCAAAATACCAGCTACTGTGTGTGCAAACCTGGTAAAGACCTATAGTAATCATTTGACCTCTGTTATTGCCAGCAAAAGTTATGTTACAAAGTACTGAGTTGAATTTTTGTTATTGACCAAATACTTATTGTCCACCCTGATTTACAAATAAATTCTTTAAAAATCCTGCCATGTGAATTCATGGATTTTTTTTTCACATTCTGTCTCTTACAGTTGAAGTGTACCTATGATGTAAATTACTGACCTCTGTCATCATTTTAAGTGGGAGAACTTGCACAATCGGTGGCTGACTAAATACTTTTTTTGCCCCACTGTATTTCTGAAGCTTGACGACCGTGGAAGTGAAGTGAGCTCAGAATAAAGCAGGTTATTGTTTATCAGTGTTTCTCCTCCGCCGCTCCCCAGATAACCCCCCAGGGCTGTTTCTGGGTGGGATCCCGGTTTAATAATCCCGACAGTTGAAGGTTGTTCTGAAAACAGTTTTATGGTTTCCTGCAGGCTCCTGCAAAGCCTCCAGACTCAGTAATTAATTTCATTTGTGATGTAAAGAACGTCTCACAGAGACTAAGAGCTTTCTCACAGGTTTTACATGAAGCGGGACCAAAAATCCAGAATCCCACCTGAACAGGTTGAGACTGTTCTGGTGGGATTCTGCATCCCTACAACTTCAGGGGTCAGAGATTGTTTAGCGAATGCTTTGTTTTTCTTTTTGTACATTTAAGCTCCGAGCTACAGAGAACATGTGTTTACCTGCCATTGAAAGGCCATTAGCTGGAATGGATTTCCTTAATCAAGCTGGAAGAGACTGTCACTCATCAGTGGTTGGCTTTAGTCGCTCGTGGTGCCCTCAACACAATCGCTCGTCTTATTCTGCCTCTTGTGTGCTGCACAAGAATAAAAGCTGCTCACAACAGCAGGTTCTAGAAGACAATAACAGTAATCCCAGCAGCCTCATGGACAACCCCAGCAACCTCATAAAGTGTAATAGGCAACAGTATTAGGCACATTTGAAGATCAAAGTTCAAAAGTACTTCAGTTATGGAAGTCAACACAAGTTAAATCAGCATGTGGGGAGACGTCTTTCTGTCAGAAAGTCGGAAAGCGCAGGAGGAATGAACAAACCGTTGTGATTGGCTGTCTCTCTTCATTGACAGCTGTCTCATCCAATCGGGGGTTGGAATTCACTAGTAGGTGGGTCTAGTCATGTAGGGTGCCTCCTGTGCGCCCTACAGGTAGCTCTGAAAGCGAACGTTCGTTCTGAGACGAAGTCAGCAGAGCAGCTGTTTGAAATGTGAGAAAGGATTTGACTCTGCTTCTGTTTGTCTGTAAAATAGACTAGCTTAGCAAAAATGTGCATAATTTAACCAGAGTTAGCTGTGCTAGCCGTGTTAGCTGTAATAGCCATGCCAGCTTAATGCCTCAGCAGTGGGTTTAGTGAATACCTGCACGGTTGGTTTTAACTTTAAGGAAAGGTTTTCATAGTTAAACAAGAACTTGCGTAAAATTAACTATATAAAATGTAAAAATAGCTTTTTTCTAAGCAGGAAGTTTATTGTTTGAAATGTGACGTTGTTAAAAGTTCCTACCAAAAATAGCACATTTGTTTGGTTCTTTTGTGATTCAGGACTTTGCAGAACTCACACACTGGTGGTGATGAGCCACAGCAGTCCAGTGGCCACCGGCCCATCCCACCACCAGCAGGCAGGGAGCGTGGAGTACTTTGCTCAAGGGTACCTGTCTTGGATGGAAGTCAAACCGGCAACCCTTTGTTTACGTGGCACCACTTGGAGTCATTTGGTCCAGATAGTAGCATTACTTGTGTAGGTTAGCTTTATTATTTGGCTGCTAACTTAAACACAATGACGCGTTACAGAAGCGTCATTCTCTTCTGCATCTGAATGAGGGAAAGACAGAGCTCATTGTTTTTCACCCCAACAGCAGGAATGTGGATCGTTATGTTGATCTTGGCCCTCTTTCTCCCTACTCAAAACCAGTTGTTACCAGTTTGGGGGTGAAACTTGATGCTGGACTTAATTTTGATGCTCACATCAATTCTGTGATCTGGTCCAGTTTCTTTCACCTGAGACGCCTTGCAAAAATCAAGCCTATGCTGTCGAGAGCCCACCTGGAGCGGGTACTGCATGCCTTTGTAATATCTAGGCTTGATTACTGCAACTCTCTCTAAGCAGGGTTGTGTCAGTCATCACTGCGTCGCCTACAGGTTGTGCAGAACAGCGCAGCCAGGTTCCTGACTGGGACCAGGAAACAGGATCACATCAGTCCGGTTCTGGCCTCCCTGCACTGGCTTCCGGTTTGCTATCGCTCACAATTCAAAATCCTCGTCTTTGTTTATCATTTCTTCCAGGGTGGTGGTCCCCCCTATCTAGCCACACTCCTGAACAGACACTCCCCATCACGCGCTCTGCGCTCCTCTGACCAAGGCCTGCTCACTGTCCCTCGTTCTAGGTGTCGTACTCGCTGGGACCGGGCTTTCTCAGTCCTAGCACCGTCTCTCTGGAACCAGTTGCCACCCTCAGTCAGGCTGCCCCCATCTCTGCCAGTCTTTAAGAGTCTCCTAAAAACCCACCTCCTCCACTTGGAGTTTCCTGAACATGTTTGATTTTGGCCTAGCCTGGCAAGCCAGACTAAATAAATGTATTATTTAGTCTGGCCATGCTCCATTGATGGCTCTCGGTTGTGGGGCGGGTTCTACCGTTGTCTTTCAAATGATCTCCGCATTCCACTGGACAATGAATGTGACATACTCTTGTTTCACTCTGTTGCATCATCCCACTCACCAGGCATATAGAGTGCCCTGATTGGCCCACAAAGCGGATAAAGCTCTGTGATTTGTTCACTAAGCAGATAGAGCACTATGATTGGCCCACCATTATGGACCAATCACAGCTCTTTATGTGTTTGAAACCATCTAGAGAGCTGTGATTGGCTAGCCAGAGTCCTGGTAGGAGCTGCTGAGGTTCCAGTGGAGCATGCCTAGACCATTCTTTGCAAAGCAAGAATTTGGTCTAGTTCACTAGGCTAATTTTGGCCCTCTTTTATGTTGAATTTATTTCACAGTTCTCATTGGTTCACTCTATCCCTTGTTTTACACATTTGTCCTGTACCAGAATGTTTCACCTTTTTTGTAATTTGTATTTTGTAATTTGAATAGCTTTTATTTTTGATTTATTCAATATATTTACCTTCTACTGTACCATGCTCAGCGCCTTGGGCTTCCTGACAGGGTTGCGGAAGGCGCTTTATAAATAAAGCTTTGATTGATTGATTGATTGATTGATTGATTGATTGATTGATTGACTGATTAAAGCATCAGAGAAGCAGCATCCTAGAGGTGGATGTGTGTAGACAGGTTGTTTCTTATCCTTTGACTTTTACCTTTCATCTCATCCTTCAGTTGGTTCTGATTCGCTGATTCGGACCTTCGTGGATATTTTGATGAAGACGTTAAGATAGTGTTTTTGCATTTCCTGTTTCAGAGTGTGATCCCTCCTGCCAGCTCTGTACTGGACCATCTGCAGAAAACTGCACCTCCTGCAGCCCCCCATCCAGCCTGCACGAGGGTCAGTGTGTTCCCACCTGTCCACAAGGCTTCTTCACCCACAACCACCAATGTCAAGGTGAGAAACGTGTGTACGTGTATTTACATACGCCCCCTGAGGCCTGTCGTTCCTGAGGCTGATTTGGAAAGTCAAACTGAGACAGCACTTTGAGTAAAATGTTATCATCAGGAGAGGGAGAATGTTTAAGTGGTTAGCAGCAGTGTGCTAGCCTGATGGCCCCCTCCATGAGGCCACCACCGCTCGGCAGAACATCATTGTAGCTTCTTCTGGGGAAAAAAACACTTAGAGAAAAAATAAAGTTAACAGCTGAAATAGGAAATACAGTTAAAGAGCAGATTGTAGAAGAAAGTAGTCGAGTGTGGAAAGTGGTCCTAGATTGATTATATCTATGATATGAAGTCATTGTAGCTGCTTACTGGAAATCCATTAGCTGTAATCCTGCGTTGGCCCCCGGCATGGTTTACTTACTCTATCCCGTTTCTATCTTAAACCGACTAGTTTGGTTTTCAGGGCTTTTTTCAGTAGCAGTCCATTTTATTTCTTATCGTGAGAGGAAACCCCACCAGTGAACATGAGCAATGTGTGATTGTGTCTTTTTTTTAACTTCTAAACTGGCTCCAGTAATTGAAATGGCAGGTGAGGAACGATAAAGACCGTTAAGAAGAAGAATGCTCTCTGATTTAGTTGTGGGTCACAAAAACAAAACAGTCCTGTTTGCCGCCTTTGTCTCTGTTTGTGTTGATGAACTCATTAGGCTGATGAGGCAAACTCAGTGTTAAAGTTAAGGAGTTGGTGGATTTTCAAAGGCAATAACATCCTCTGAGTTTAGGATGTATTAAGTTATACGACTTCTAATTACAATGACTCCAATAAATGTTTAATGATGGCTTAAGATGAAGAAGCATAATGGTCCACTCCGCCAGGTTTCATCTGCGTTTCTTCTGCTGTGTCTGAAAGCTTCAAGAGGGCATCAAACTTTAATGGAGCCGATGAACGTCTCACAAAACAAAAAAAAAAACCCTCCCAGACTTTTAAAAATGTATTTATGTTTCACTGAAGCTCTTAACCCTCTGGAGGCAGGCAGGTTAAAACCTACCTACCTGGTTACTCCACACATGTATTTCATGAGCATTTTAACTCAGAAGTAACCCTGAAGGACTTAGTTGTTCGTCCCTTTATCAAAACTTATTTAGAGCCTGAGAGGGTTAAAGAGGTTTGTTTATCTTAATGTGTTTGGTTTCCATCCAGCGCCTTTGTCCAGAAGGATGGTCAAAGCATCTCTTACAAGGTTTGTTGTTTGTGAAGCCATTAAATTCATGAACAGCTTAAATGTGTAGTTCACAGAAACTCCGTTTCTATGATTATTTCTGATTATAAAGAGCCTGTCTGAATCAAATGTGTAATTGATATATGACATCTTTCTTCAACATAGACCCCACCAATGAACTGATTTAGGGTTATTTTGAACATGCAGGAAGGCAGGGACGTAAAAGAAAGTGATAAAATAACAGCTTCTGTTAAATGTTCTTCAAATAATGAATTAACGGACAACGTTTTTGCAGGGTTGAAAAAAATGTTCAGCGTCAAGCTCTTCGGGCTAAGCCCCCCTATCTCTCAAACCTAGTGACGTCCCTGGCTTAGTCCACACTCTTCCTTTGAAAAGTCAGTACTGGTCAAATGTGTCCTAATCTCGCTGTGTTTGCAGCTTTAACCCATGGCCTCACCTTACCTGCCCCTCCCGCCTCCTGCTCGCTGCAGACGAGGAGCAAAGGGCTCATCTAGAAGTTGACCAATCACGTGCGGCTTAAACACGGAGAGGGGTAAAGGGAGCAAGAAAGGAAAAAACAAAAAAAAACTCAGACTCGGCTCCTCGGACACGGAGCCGGCTCTGATCGGTCCCTTTAAACAGCGGGCTCTCAGAGCCGTTTCGTTCGAGAACAACACATCTGTAGAATGACACATCTCTGGAACGACATATCTCTAGAATGACACATCTCTAGAACGACACATCTCTAGAACGGCGCCTCTCTAGAACGGCACATCTCTAGAACGACACATATCTAAAACGACACATCTCTAGAACGACACATCTCTAGAACAACACACATCTGTAGAACGACATCTCTAGAACGACACATCACTAGAACAACACGGCCCTAGAACAACACATCTCTAGAACAACAACTCTAGAAAGACACATCTTTAGAACGACACATCTGTAGAACGACACCTCTCTAGAATGACACATATCTAAAACGACACATCTCTAGAACAACACACATCTGTAGAACGACACACATCTGTAGAATGACACCTCTCTAGAACGACATCTCTAGAACGACAAATTTCTAGAACAACACGGCCCTAGAACAACATCTCTAGAACGACACATCTTTATAACGACACATCTTTAGAACGACACATCTGTAGAACGACACATCTCTAGAACGACACATCTCTAGAACGACACACATCTGTAGAACGACACACATCTGTAGAATGACACACATCTGTAGAACGACACCTCTCTAGAATGACAACATCTCTAGAACAACATCTCTAGAATGACACATCTCTAGAACGACACATCTCTAGAACGACACATCTCTAGAACGACACGACTCTAGAACGACACGGCTCTAGAACAACACATCTCTAGAACGACACATCTGTAGAACGACACGTCTCTAGAACGTCACATCTTTAGAGCAACACATCTCTAGAACGACACTTCTTTAGAACAACACATCTCTAGAACGACACATCTGTAGAATGATACATATTTAGAACGACACATCTCTAGAACGACACATCTCTAGAACGACACCTCTCTAGAACGACACATCTCTAGAACGACACCTCTCTAGAACGACACCGCTCTAGAACGACACATCTGTAGAACGACACATCTCTAGAACGACACATCTGTAGAACGACACATCTCTAGAACGACACATCTCTAGAATGACACGGCTCAAGAACGACACGGCTCTAGAACGACATGTCTGTAGAACGACACATATCTAAAACGACACATCTCTAGAACAACACACATCTGTAGAACGACACACATCTGTAGAATGACACACATCTGTAGAACGACACCTCTCTAGAACGACAACACCTCTAGAACAACATCTCTAGAATGACAAATCTCTAGAACAACACGGCCCTAGAACAACACATCTCTAGAACAACATCTCTAGAACGACACATCTTTATAACGACACATCTTTAGAACGACACATCTGTAGAACGACACTTCTCTAGAACGACACATCTCTAGAACGACACACATATGTAGAACGACACACATCTGTAGAATGACACACATCTGTAGAACGACACCTCTCTAGAATGACAACATCTCTAGAACAACATCTCTAGAATGACACATCTCTAGAACGACACATCTCTAGAACGACACATCTCTAGAACGACACGACTCTAGAACGACACGGCTCTAGAACAACACATCTCTAGAACGACACATCTGTAGAACGACACGTCTCTAGAACGTCACATCTTTAGAGCAACACATCACTAGAACGACACATCTTTAGAACAACACATCTCTAGAACGACACCTCTCTAGAACGACACCTCTCTAGGATGACACATCTGTAGAACGACACATCTCTAGAATGACACGGCTCAAGAACGGCACGGCTCTAGAACGACATGTCTGTAGAACGACACATCTCTAGAATGACACGGCTCTAGAACGACACATCACTTGAACGACACATCTCTAGAACGACACGTCTGTAGAATGACACATCTCTAGAACGACACTTCTGTAGAACATCACTAGAACGACACATCTCTAGAACGACACGTCTGTAGAACATCACTAGAACGACACATCTCTAGAACGACACGTCTGTAGAACATCACTAGAACAACACATCTCTAGAACGACACATCTCTAGAACGACACGTCTGTAGAACGACACATCTCTAGAACGACGCAGCTCTTGAACAACACATCTGTAGAACATCACTAGAACGACACGTCTCTAGAAAGACACGGCTCTAGAACGACGCATCTCTAGAACGACACATCTCTAGAACGACGTCCCCAAATAATTAAAACCCAGGAAGTCAAATCCAAAGTTTTGGGCATAACATTGACCCAGAGATTTTCTGATTGAGTAGACTTGTGAAAATACATGTAATGACCACATATATCGAAGAAAATATAGAGCTATTTTCGCAAAAAATGTCTCTGGCTCCTTCAAAGGCAGTTCGAAATTTGGGTGTTGTGATTGATGACCAGCTGACCTTTAAAGATCACGTTGCCTCTGTCGCACGTTCATGCCGCTTGATGCTGTATAACATCTGAAAGATCAGACCATATCCAAAACAAGATGTCTCCCAGCTCCTGGTGCAGTCTGTCATCTTCCGCCCCGACTACTGCAGCACCCTTCTAACTGGTCTTCCAGCCTGGACTGTCTGGCCTCTTCAATTGGTCCAGAATGCAGCAGCGCATCTGGTCTTTAATCAGCCTAAAAGAGCACACGTCACCCCTCTGGTAACTGAGCTCCATTGGCTACCGCTAGCTGCAAGCATCAAATTCAAATGGCTAGCACTAGCATACACTGTCCTGGATGGTATGTCTCCCATCTACCTGAATCCTCTCGTAAAGGCTTTCATCACGGCCCAGGCGCTCCGGTCATTGAAGGATCATCGGCTAGCCGTGCCTACACCACGCTCAGGACAATCCAGGCTCTTCATGTGTCGTTCCACAGATGTGGAATGACCTACCAAGCACTACCAGAACAGCGGCTTCCTTGTTGATTTTCAAGAAACTCCTAAAGACCCTGCTCTTCAGAGAGCATCTTCTAAACTAGCACCCTCCCAGCAACCGTCCCTCCATTCTACTGTCCACTCCATGTTCACTTCCCTCTAGGATTCATCATGCTGCCTCACTGCCACCTAGGTTCAGTGTTTGTTGTTAGCCTCAAGGGCAGCCTGTAGCTTCATTATCATCTGTAAGTCTCTTTGGACAAAAGCGTCTGCTAATACATAAACACATTACAAATATATTACCAAACGAAAGCCGTTTACAAGCCTGGAAGCCCACAGATACTTTATTTCATGTTGGTTAACCTTTCAGTGATCCGGAGAAGCTTTAAATGACCGCAGTCTTGTTTTTGCTTGGTAGTGGGTTGTGCTATTTTAATTCATTAGCTCATGATAATAATGCTATTGCTAATGCTAACGATCCGTATGTGCTAGGCTCTACTTGTAACTAACGTTTTATGGCTTTTAAATCCAAATCTCTGGTATGTTTGTTTGATTTTAATAAGGTATAAACACCACATTACAACACTAAGCTAACTGCTAAAAACATTAGCAGTGAGGACACGTGACAACGGTATAAAACTGTTAACCTGTGGTTTTAATGGCTGTTTCTAAGCAACAGTTTAATAAAACACTCAGCAATCTCTCACCTGTTAGGAAGTGATCTCTGTAAACTCCAGCATTGTCTGTTTCTGCTCCTGTTTTACGTCGTAGATTACTGCTCCACTTCTGCCGTCTTCTTTCAGTACGTTTGTTTTTATGAAGTCCTCTGTGGTGCGCTACATTCAGGACCTGGATGAAACGTTTGTCTTTGTCCCGATTAGACTGATTCTAATTACCATGGACCACATAGTATTTCTGCATTTTACCGCCCAGTCACCAAAGTAAACCGGGTTTTGGGCAGCACTGGCTACTTCCACACCCCCTCTGCATTTGGTGACGTACATGCAATGTCACGTGAAACCGAGCAATAGCTTGTGATGCGGATGAGATTCTCTGGCTTGACCCAGACCGAAGACAGGATGCTGAGGTGGAATAATGTTCGTTGTGTGTGTTCTACCGTATGGTACTATAATAAAAATGCACCGTTGTATTTACATTGGGTGAATCTTTTGTGTTCATCGTGTGAAAAGTTTTATGTGGGGAAGAACCACAAGCAACATAAGTATAAACTGTCTGAATTACTAGAGTGTCTATCAGCATCACCTACTGGCTAGAAGATAACTTCCTCCAGTTAAACTCTGAAAAGACCATTTTCATCACTAAAGAAACATCTCCAATCCTTCCAGACTGTTGCACCCCGACTTTGGAACGATCTTCTGTCAGCGTGCCCCAGGGCAGCTGTGGCTACATCGTAGCTCATCCCCATTAGTGTGTGAATGAGTGTGTGAATGGGTGTGTGAATGGGTGAATGATACACTGTAGTGTAAAGCGCGTTGGAGTCCTTACTCTGAGAGGCGCTTTACAAGTGCGGGTCGGTGCCTTTTATTTAAAGCTGCTTTTAAATTAACCTTTTATTTTCTTATTTGTGAACATTCATCTGTTTATGATATTTTATAATGTTATGACTTTATTTTTTCTGATGTTAATCTATTTCTGTTTTAAGATCTTTATGATTTTATGACTGTTTTATTTTGGTTGATCTGTGTGAAGCACTTTGTGCAATAAAACTTACTAACACAGCTGGCCAGTTTAGCAAAAAATGTTTTTAATTGATTGCAGCAATGTGTGAGACTGTGTTGTAGTGTGTGTTTCTTAGGCCTTGTGTGTGATGTCCGTGGACAACGTTTGGTTTTTCAACTGTTTTGAGTCTAGAGCTTCATGCTGACCTGAAAGTACGATGTTTGGGAGGTGTTATGGTTTTGTGTTTACTATTTTGAGAATAGGAGTCATAGTTTCAAGAAATGTGCAATCGAGAAAAACTGTCATAAAACTCTTTGTTAGACATCCATCAAAGCCAGTAAGTAAAACTTATTATAATAGCACCTGTCTGAGGTAAGAACCATGAAGTGACAGAATGACAGAGAAAAGCTACAACTAACACAGAAAACTAGAAGAAACAAGGTTCAAAGTCACACCTTTAAAAGTGTCCTGAAATCACAGAATCAGCTACAGCTGTTCGACATTTGACGGCCACTTGATTCAAGATAGTGCCTCTAACTACAAACTGGCTGTAGTCCAGTTTAGTAGCATGCAGACCAGTGGAACCAATACCAGTGCTGTGAGTAACTGGGTTATTCTCTCCTCCAGTTTGTCATCCAACCTGCCAGACGTGCTCCGGGTCCTCCGAGGCCGACTGCACCTCCTGCCCCCCGCGGGCCTCCTTACAGAACGGCTACTGCAGGACTAGCTGCCAGGAGGGTCATTACCTCAGCGCCATCCCCGGAGAGTGTCTCAGTAAGTCAGACCATGTCCAGGTGTGTGTGGACATGTCCTGTAATTATGGTGTTTTCATCATGTACTGGCAGCACAATCTGAGACATCTTCAGCGTGTCTCCAGAAACTGTGTTATTCATCTGGCTACCTAAAATACCGGCTGTTAAATTCAGAGGGTTTATTTCTTTTTCACCCCTTCTTGGTTCCTTTGAACTGTGGCATCTGTACTGTTCTAAAGCTGCCATTTCAACTAAAAAACAACCTATTTTCTTTTAAGCTGCCGCCTTTGCTCATGAGACACTGAATGGCTCTAATAGGGCCACATCACAGTTTTCCTGTTTGATTTGGTACAAATATAATGGGTTTTGAGCCTCAATTCAGCCTTAAGGAAAAAATAAAATGTTGATTTTAAATTCAAAGATGTTTGACCGAAGCTGCTGAGCCTCATGACACACTGCTGGAGTCCAACCAGAAATGAAGCCATTGGTTGGAGAAATAGGCAACCTTCACGTCTCTGACTGCAGAGTTAAAGGAGGTCAGAAGATCCTTTAAATGCAGCAGATAAATGTGGAGATGGGTTTTCTTCCACGAGTGCTCAACTTTTCTGCATTGGTGCTTCAGGCTGGGAATGCTGTCGTTAAACCAGGAAGTAGGGTTCACTGCAGGAGCTGATCTGGTTCTGACAGGACGGATGTTGGAGGAATCCAACATTAGCAGGATTAGCTCTGCAGTGTTTCTAAAGACCATTTATGGAGGGAACAGGAGGAGAAACCACTGAAGAATGAGAATAAACAGACCTTAGAAAACTTGGACGGGGACACTGCACAGACCCGAAAGCAGAAATGATCAAAGGAACAGCGTTAGGCTGGTTTAAATCCTACCTGTCTGATAGATTTCATTTTGTAAACGTACATGACAAATCTTCTTCATACTCCAGGGTTACTTGTGGAGTACCACAGGGTTCAGTGCTTGGACCAATTGTTTTTACTAAATATATGCTCCCAATTGGTAAAATCATTAGACAGCATGGGATAAACTTCCACTGTTATGCTGACGATACTCAGTTATATTTATCCATTAACCCTGATTAACCTAATCGGTTAGGTAGATTACAGGCTTGTCGTGAAGACATGAAAGAAATTGGATGACTCTAAACTTTCTGCTTTCAAATCAAGACAAGACGGAAGTACTCATCTTTGGACCTGAAATTCAGAAAAGGAAATTGCTTAGTCAATCACCTGACCTGAATGGCATTAAATTAGTCTCTGAGAAAAAAGGAAGGAACCTTGGTGTTATCTTCGACCAGGACATGTCATTCAAATCCCAGGTTACACAGGTTTGTAGGATTTCCTTTTTCCACCTTCAGAATATTGCTAAGATTAGAAGCATCCTTTCCAGGAGTGGTGCTGAAAAACTAGTTTATGCATTTATTACATCAAGACTGCATTACTGTAATTCATTACTCTCAGGAAGTCCACAGAATGTAGTCAAAGGTTTGCCCCTGACTTCATATCTCAGACTAAGTGTGACGAGTTTGCATCCTTCTTCACTAACAAAACTCTAACATTAGTTCAGCCATTCATTCCTCTAAGTCAACTAACACAACCAGACCATGGACACAGCCACACAGCAACAACTTGGCTTTAATGCCAGCTTTCACCCTGATTAGTATTAAAACACTTGAGGACATGTTTTTAGTTGCCTGAAAGCTGAGGTACAGGAAATTGTTAACTGCTCTTTAATGTCAGGAACTTTTGTGTAAAAAGCTCCACCAATAACACGTTTTGGACCAAACCCAACCATCGGACCATCCGGTTGTTGGTCTCACCAAACCCCTGCACTTCCCTGAGTCCTCCACTCATCACACACTAACGTATTCAGCACCAGAACACCACTGGTGTGAGAGGTTCTCCGCTCAGTGATATTAGAGGAGAAAAAGCTGGCTGCTACCGCTTTAGAACAAACTACCAGAGTCCCATGAAGAAAAACTTGTTTGCGTGTAAAACCTAGCTTGTCCCGTAGATTCGCTATAACAGCTTTAATCACCTGTTGTGGGTGGGCGCTGATCCATCTGGTTCTGTAAGACACCGTTGTCCCACCATGTGGTCTGCAGTTTCTGGAACAGTTTAATAAATTACCCAGCACACACACACACACACTTACATAAGCCGTTAATTCGATCGTGTGCTCATGCAAGAACTTCCATCAGAGGACAGAGACTCACTGTGGGCTGTCTCCTCGTCATCTCCATCTGCCAATCACCGTTTCCTCCTGTCTCCGTCTCTCATCAGCACCCCTGCTCCGTCACGCCTGACACCATCAACATTAGTGTCATTCATTCATGACGAGGCCATCTAGGGCAACAAAACAAGTAAAATGTGTTTCTACAAACAGCAGTTAGTTAACATGGCAGCAGAAACATGTTTTGTTTCTCCTTAATTATTATCCTAATATCAGACACAAATAAGGTGTTTTAGTCAGAAGTCCTTCTAAAGCTTATTCCCTATCTGTTGTATAACAATTCTATCAGCTCAAAATAGCCCCGTATGCGTCTCCATAGAAACCATGGCTACTGTCAGCTGCTTTCCTACTTCAGATTAAAGAATAGAGACATTTAAGACACTTTTGTGGCTGATGTTACTCATACAGCTGGGATGCAGGTTTTGTAACCCCAGAAAGCGCTTTAATACAGGCTGTTTATTGATGGAATCAAGTATATCAACGTTCTGCTCCACCCTTATGAGCAGGACACCTAAGCGCCTCCACCTGAGGCAACGTCTCTCCTCAGAGGAGAGACTCATCCTCATTCTCATCTCCTCTGCAAGAGCTTGAGGTCATAGTTGGGTGAAACTAAGAGGACTTCATCATCTGCATAGAAAAGAAAACTAGAGCCAAGCTCCTCCTCCTCCATCACGGTTCCACCCAGACATTCTGGTGAGCACCGGTGAATTACAGCTGGCTTTAAAACAACGCTGAAAAGATTAAAAGAGTTGGCTTTTAAACATGATTGTTGCCATTAATTCATCAGCTAAGGGTTTCATTTTTAATGTCCACGACTAATTATAGCTCCCCAAACATGACGCAGCTCATACCACGCCTCATTGTTCCAGCTGCTTTTATCTGGAAGCATCATCAACGTTTTTACCTTTGTTTCATGTGGTTGGTCTCTATTGTTGCTATGCTACAGACATTCCTATGTGAGGTCAGTGGGTCCTTATCGTGGCGTTTAAATCAAAATCAGAGCTTTTCATTTGCTCTAAAGCTTTGAGCCGACGTGAAGAGAGGAGCAGGGCTTGTTTAATAACCGTGTTCATGAATCCATTTGTTGAGGTAATGTGTCTCAACAAGGTGAAAACGCTTTAGAAGACCACACAGCGTCTCTCTGCAGCACTCTGATTACTCTCACTTGAAACGTCAAACTCAGGCCACCATCCACGTTTGTTCTTCTTGTGTTCGAGCCCATAGCTCCGCTCTGGCATCCTTGTGGCAGAAACTGCTCTGAGAAACACGTTTATAATTTGTTATGGACCACGAGAACACCCAGGGAGGCAATCGATTGAGAAGCATCAGTCTTGATTTCCATTCTTGAGTCTCATTGAACACATTTGTTATGTATAATGCAGAAGATGCAGGGAAAGAGCATCAGACAGAAAAATGTCTTGTATACCTTTTTTGCTTCAAAAATGGTAACTGCCATAAAGAGATTACCAATCAATACCATTTTAGTTTTATATTCACTTTTAGTCAGCAGAGTCAATAATCCCTGACGCCTGAGTTATCTTATCTCCAGCATGGAGAAATTTGTTTGGTGCTCAAAGCCGGATCGCCTGCAGAGTGTTGGCAGCAGGAATGCTGAAACATCTTTTCTTGCAAACTGATATTTTGTGGAAAGTGTGATTGATTCCACAATCAAGAGATTACTCATTTATTAGAGGATATTTATTGTCGTCAGAAAATAAAAACATGTTCAATTCAAACTCCTTGGAACTGGTCTCTCAGAACACTTAAAGTATCCTGTTCACCACCTCATGTCTTATCATGCCTCATCATGCCCCCTTATGCCCCTTCATGTTTCCTCGTGCCTTATCATGCCCCCTTATGCCCCTTCATGCCTCATCATGCCTCCTCATGCCTCATTATGTCCTCTTATGCTCCTTCATGTTCCCTCGTGCCTCATCATGCCTCATCATGCCCTCTTATGACCCTTCATGTTTCCTCATGCCTCATCATGCCCCCTTATGCCCCTTCATGCCTCATCATGCCTCATTATGCCCTCTTATGCTCCTTCATGTTGCCTCGTGCCTCATCATGCCTCATCATGCCCTCTTATGCCCCTTCATGTTTCCTCGTGCCTTATCATGCCCCCTTATGCCCCTTCATGCCTCATCATGCCTCATTATGCCCTCTTATGCCCCTTCATGTTGCCTTGTGCCTCATCATGCCTCATCATGCCCCCTTATGCCCCTTCATGTTTCCTCGTGCCTCATCATGCCCCCTTATGCCCCTTCATGCCTCATCATGCCTCCTCATGCCTCATTATGCCCTCTTATGCCCCTTCATGTTGTCTCGTGCCTCTTCATGCCTCCTCATGCCTCATTATGCCCTCTTATGCCCCTTCATGTTGCCTCGTGCTTCATCATGCCTCATCATGCCCCCTTATGCCCCTTCATGCCTCATCATGCCCCCATATGCCCCTTTTGTTTCCTCATGCCTCATCATGCCCCCTTATGCCCCTTCATGCCTCCTCATGCCTCATCATGCCTCCTCATGCCTCATTATGCCCCCTTATGCCCCTTCATGTTTCCTCGAGCCTTGTCATGCCTCATCATGCCCCCTTATGCCCCTTCATGCCTCCCCATGGGGAGGGGCATAACGAGAACTGATTATAAATAATTTATAATCCATTCGAAGCCAGTGCGTAGAGCCTACTGTACGAATGGTGAGAGTTCCTGGGAAATATGATGAAACTTTTTCACATTTTTAAATCATGTTCTTGAGCCAGTATGTGCTAAAATAAATTTTTACAGGGTTAATGAAAAGTCACTCAGGCCCCACCCCCTCTGTAGCCAGAATATCACACCTAAAACTTCAGAGTGGCGGGAAAGTGGTCAGTATGTCCTCTAGCAGTCTAAGCCTATAGCAGCATAACTACAGAGATAACTCTGGATAACCTAGCCTTTTAGATGGAGGCGTGTTGGAGGCAGGGCAAGGGAGAGCCGTCTTTACCGACTGTACACTCCACCTCCCTCTACTCCCCCACTTGTCCAGATCAAGGCTAACATCAGATTTTAACCATAGGCCCTATCAAATAAAAATGTTTTAAGCCTAGTCTTAAAAGTAGACAAGGTGTCTGCCTCACGGACTAAAGCTGGGAGCTGGCTCCACAAGAGAGGAGCCTGATGGCTAAAAGATCTGCCTCCCATCCTATTTTTAGATAATCTGGGAACCACCAGTAAACCTGCAGTCTGAGAGCAAAGTGCTCAGTTAGGAACGTATGGAACAATCAGGTCACTGATGTATGATGGAGCTTGATTATTAAGAGCTTTATATGTGAGAAGGAGGATCTTAAAATCTATTCTGAATTTAACAGGCAGCCAAAGTAGGGAAGCTAAGACAGGAGAGATATGATGGGAAATATGATGAAACTTTTTCACATTTTTAAATCATGTTCTTGAGCCAGTATGTGCTAAAATAAATTTTTACAGGGTTAATGAAAAGTCACTCAGACCCCACCCCCTCTGTAGCCAGAATATCACACCTAAAACTTCAGAGTGGCGGGAAAGTGGTCAGTATGTCCTCTAGCAGTCTCTTCTTAATTCTCATCAGAACTTTAGCTGCAGCATTTTGGACAAGCTGAAGACTTTTAACTACATTCTGTGGACTTCATGAGAGTAATGAATTACAGTAATCCAGTCTTGATGTAATAAATGCATTAACTAGTTTTTCAGCATCACTCCTGGAAAGGATGCTTCTAATCTTAGCAATATTCCGAAGGTGGAAAAAGGAAATCCTACAAACCTGTTTAACGTGGGATTTGAATGACATTTCCTGGTCAAAGATAACACCAAGGCTCCTTACTTTGTTCTCGGAGATTAATGTAATGCCATTCAGGTCAGGCTATTGGCTAAGCAATTTCCTTTTCTGGATTTCTGGCCCAAAGATGAGAACTTCCGTCTTGTCTTGATTTAAAAGCAAAAAGTTTAGAGTCATCCAATTTTTTATGTCTTCAAGACAAGCTGTAATCTACCCAACCGATTAGGTTCATCAGCATTGATGGATAAATATAACTGAGTATCGTCAGCGTAACAGTGGAAGTTTATTCCATGCTTTCTAATGGTTTTACCAATTTATTACTCAATAATGAAGGCTGGGGTTCAGCTGGGGTTCTACTAAACAGACACTAGAGATGCTAACATCAAGCCCAGATTGCCTAGTCTCCCTTTAAATAATAAACAGTTGATTTCATGTAAGTTTGTAGATTGGTCAACAATTTCACACACATTTTACATCATTTCTGCTGATAAATTAATAAAACAAAAAAAAAATAAATAAATGTGAGGAGCTGTTTGAGAGCTGAAAGAGCCGGTTCATTTTAGTGATCCAAGCCGTAAGAACTGGTTCTCTTAAAAGAGCCGGAGTTCCCATCACTACATTACATGCCTTTCTTAACGCTACACCTCTTCATGTCTCTTAATGTCTCCTAATGTCACCGGGGGCCCCCTCTGGAGCCAGGCCTGGAGGTGGGGCACATTGGCGAGCACCTGGTCCTGACTGTGATTTGTGCTCATGCACCAAACTACAGTTCAGACTACCCACACTTTTTGGAGTCCTTGGAGGGAGTGCTGGAGAGTGCTCCTTCCGATGACTCCCTCGTTCTGCTGGAGGACTTTAGTGGTAACGTGGGCAACGACGGGGGACATTGAGTCAAAATGTCCATGCCTCCATCGCTGAGATGGCTGACCGGAGTTGTGGCCGCAGGGTCATCGGTGCCTGTCGTGGCGGCAACCCCCGAATCCACTGGTGGACACTGGTGGTTAGGGATGCTGTCAAGCTGAAGAAAGTGTCCTATCAGGTCTTTTTGGCCTGTGGGACTCAAGAGACAGTTGAAGGAGGGAATGCTCCATCTCCTATAGGAATGTCCGCCTCGAGCTGTTCGTGGGTCATAGTGGTTTGATTCAGGGATGGATCAAAAGATGGAGGCATCTTCATTAATGACGATGTTGTTCTGGTCTGCTGTGGTGAAGACCATCTACACGTCTGGAGTTGGATTATGACAAAAAGAAAAGAAGATCCATCTGGGGTCAACCTGATCAACAAGGGGAGGAGCTTTGTTCATGGGCTGGTAGAACTGTTGCTCCTCTTCATCAGACAGAGTTAGCTGGGGGGTGCTGATGGTAGATGTCTGCTCCTATTGTGACCTCCAACAGTCATGGATGCTAGGTGGATGGGAAAAGGAAATATTTAGTTGATGGGTGGCTCAGAAAACCTGAAACTAATCGTAAGGATGGCTTCCCCTCAGGCCCCTGGGATGAACTTCTACTGCCACCCCACTGGTTTATAGAGTATTAGTCTCATTAGTGAAACTAACTCGCGTTTATTCAAGCCTTCCTAACAACCCTCTGCTGCCGTCGCCAGAGCTCTTCTGGTCAGCAAACCTGAAGCCGGTAGAACCAAGGACAACCAGAGCCTCCGTTACTTTGGTAAGAAGCCCACGCTCTGTGACAGATGAGCATCAGTGCTCCTGGCTCCGTGACCTCCAGGCTCCCATAGCAGCTCTTTTGTTTACTGTGTGTGACGGATGGATCCCGTAGATGGTGTGTAAGGATTTGGTGTCGACGTGTGTCTAAAATGAAGGTTGCTGAATCAAGATGAACTGATAAAGAACGAGAGACCCGTCTCAGTTCTACTGTTTCCCGTATTTGACTTGTCTCGTTCCACCACTCTACTCCGTTCATGTGGTGAAAACAGCAGTCGGTATGTCAGTTATGGTTGTAGTCATGGCAACCTGATGGATGTTTGATCATCTGTTGTGTGTACACACACTTTGATAGATTCAGTTTGAAGTGTCAGCAACCCTGCTGCAACGCTTCTCTCAGACTTGTCGTCTTTATTGGACTTTGAACCTGTTTTTGTAGCTGTCTGCGTCTTTTAGCCCCAGTGAAGTTTTATCCTGATAAATATGCACAGGGCCAGGGTCAGGGTGCATTAGCTTCGTCACGGTGGCAGTGGTGCAGGCCCAGAATCCTTACAGTTACGTTCTATTTCCAGGGTGCAGCTCGGACTGCCAGCGCTGCACAGCAGACCTTCAGACGGGGATCGGCAGCGTGTGTCTGCGGTGCAAAGCTCCGAGGACATGGCTGCTGGGGGATCACTGTGTCAGTCAGTGTCCTAGCGGTCGTTACAGCTGGCATGGAGCCTGCATCAGTAAGTTAAGCTTTTATGTCTCTAAACTGGACTCAGAAAGCAGGAAATGTGTTTGGTTGATGACGATGTTGTTGTAAAGCCTGGTCCATCTTCATCATGAGGCTGGGCCTGTGAGGATTGTGCAGGTCATGTGATCATCAGTCAGCTGTTTATTCAGCATCATTTCTGGGGAGGAGCAATGCATCCAGAGCTGTTCAACTGGTTTTACTGGTGGGTCCCAGGGGTGGGGTTGGGACCCGCTGTGGCTCATTAAACACCGCTGAGGGTCCTCAGGTAAAGCGAAGAAAACTGTTTCTGCACTTGTTTAATTTAGAAGCAAATAATAACCTTAAAGGTTCAAACTATTCATTTACATCGTGTTTTGTTTGTTTAACTTTTAAAGTCCAACTGGTTAATATGTGTATCTGGGGTTGAGGCACACTAGAAAGAGCTATATCCAGAAAACGGGTCAGAAGCCACTGGCGTTAGTGCTGAAACACTGCAGGAGGAGAATTTATCACGACAGATGTACAATCGTGTGATTAAAGGTTATTCTTCATCCTCAGCCCCTCTTCTTTATCATCCTTATCATTAGAGAATAACTGTCATCTCCTACTGATCATCCCCTCCCTTCTGATGGCCCTTAATCTCATTAGTTGTGTCATCTTCCTCACCCGAGCCTCCATCGTAGCTGTGGAGGATCCAGTGGTTCAGCAGGTGAACAGGAGAAGAGCTGCTGCTGTGTTTCCTTCAGATTAAAATGCAAATGTGGAGCGGAGGCTTCAGGGGAACCATGGGGGGGGGGGGGGGCTCATTTAACCTGCTGCAGGAGGCTGAGCACACACACACACACACACACACACTGACCCTGGGCGTCCTGTATCTACCACCAGGGCAGGAACAGGATAATAAAACCCTCTGGTTCTAAAAGGGTTCTGGTTCTATGATCCTAACTGTCTCATGTCAAATCTCCTTGTTTATGTCTTGTTCCATCCCTGCTGGCTTAACGCTCCCTTGTTATTTTCCCCAGAATGCCATCCTTCATGTGAGTCCTGCAGGGGGGCGGGGCCTCTGTCTTGTACTTCCTGCCCCACCAACAACTTTCTGCTGGACTCTGGTCTTTGTTCCCCCAAATGTCCCATTGGTTACTTTGACAACGGCCTGCGGTCCTGCCAGGGTAAGTCAGAGGACCAGAGGGTCCCGGCTGAGTGGACATGTTGATCAGAACACTCTTAAGGTTTTATTATTGAGGTCAAAGGTCAGAGTGGACTCTGGGTAGGTAGTGACGGATGTTAATGAGAATATCTGAAACCTGATCAAAAGTTGTCTGACATTTCCACGTCACGTTACAAAGTTGGTAGGACCCAAAATGCAGTAACCCAGGATGACACGAGGCAGGAGTTGAATACATATTAAAAATGAATCCTTTATTTTAGGAGTAACTAAAAACAAAGGTAATCCAAAAGGCTGGGAGCCAAAAGTCCAAAAATCCACATAGAGATCTGGTGATCTAAAAATACAAGAGGCACGAGAAGACTTGACAGAATTACAACAATGGACCGACACCAAACAGAGACAAGACAGGGCTTAAATACACAGGGAGAACAATTAAGGAAACAGGAAGCAGGTGTGTGGAGTGAAGGCTGGAGGGAAGGCAGGTGACAATAATTATCTAAATGGGGAAACAGAACCAAAGGAGGACAGATAAACCTAAAACTATAAACACAAAACCAAACTAAAAGACTGCAGGAAGTACTCACACACACACACACCATCACACACAAATGCACTCACACAAACATACACTGAACTGGGGAATGGACACGCACACATACACACAAACTCCGAACTGGGACAGGACACGCACACACGCACACACGCACACACACACACACACACACACACACACACACACACACACACACACACACACACACACACACACACACACACACACACACACACACACACACACACACACAAACGCAGAGAGCAGGGGAATGAATGACACAGGACCTGGGAGGAAATGATTTTAAAGGGCTACAACATAAGACACATAACTGAGACGCAGACAAACACATGAGGGCTCTATGAGACACAAAAGGGAATCAAGAGGGGGATGGAGAAACATCAGGAGACACATGAAGGAAGACGCAGACGCAGACCATGACACCACAGCTCTCCTTCAAAGTCTCTTCATACACGTCTGAAAACATCATCTACCACAGCAAAGGTAGAAAGTCCCTCCTGGAGAAGATCAGACAGTTTCTGAGCAGATCTAGATCCTGTTTTGGACAAACACGGTTTGGAAAAGCTGACTTTAGTTCTGACCAGGTTGTTATGAACGCTGTTTTAGCACTGGGCCATATCTCCATGACTCAGCAGCATTTATATCCATGCACGCAGATGACCAGCGAGTTTCTGGAGTCGCTGCTACTAGCAGCTGCAGCTCCACCTCCAAGTGGTCCTTACATGTATTCTCACACGTCCGCTCGATCAGAAAAGTTATTTTCTGGACGAATAAAACCCCCCAGGGCTCTAAGCTTTTCATTTGGCTTTGTGGCTTTTAATTATCTGGGTATGGATAGTTTCAGTGAGCCTTTACGCTGTGGCCGCCGGCAGAGCTTTGTTCATCCTGTTCATGTGGAGATGGACAAACCCCTCCCTACAGGTACGGAGAGCTACAGCGGTCAAAATACCTCAGACACTAACTTTAGCTATGAGTGAATACTGAGATTCAGGCCATGTTTGCCTTCATGACTGAAAAGCCTGATTCATGCTTCTGCGTCAGTGCGGAGACACGCAACGCCATTATCCGTCCTTGCGGGCCTGCTGGAGAGCCCCGCAAGGACGGACGGAGTCGAGCTTTCTTTTCTAAACATCCGTCCGTCGAGATGGAGAACGCAAGCTTGTGATTGGTCAGGACGCCGCTGTCGTCTACACCGCCTGCATTGCGCCCTCAAAAACATGAAGAGAGCTGAGAATAACTAGCGGCAGACACGGAGAAGCTTGAAGAATACCTCGCGAAAAAACTCTAAAAACATGAACGTTTGATTCCCCGTGACTGGAGGAGTGAAAAGATGCGCAGCAAGCGTTTTATTTTTGGACGGAAATGACAGGAAACGTGGATTTAGAGGTGGCGAGCGCATGAAGAGGGGGAGGAGAATGAGAGACAAATTTGTCTGTGTTAAGAAGTCTCTTATATACAAAAAACAATATAAACACACTATCTTGGACCGGATTCATGACAGGATACCACAGAACAGTGCTACGCCATCTGCTGTCCTGGCGGGGAATTGCTTTGCAACACTCTCAAGGAGACGGAGAAGTCTGAGAGCAAAACGTCTCCGTCCGTGCATGCGTGTCTCTCCCTGGTGGAACTGACGGAGAAGCATGAATCAGGCTTAATGACCCACATGAGCGTAATCCTGTGGAGGGGTGTAATGACCTGACTCCTAGTCTTTGGACTCAAGTTCACATAAAAACAGTAACAAATGCAGTATAAAGGGTAGCATGTACATTGTTAACAGTTCCAACATCAACTCCTCTTGAAGGGAGCTAACTCATAAATATTTATTTATTTATTTATTTATTTAACCTTTATCCAGATGCATGGACTGAGAACTCATTCTCATTTCCAACGAGCTGGCCGAGAGGCAGCAACAGTCACATAGTTAGCTTTACACCAGAGAGCAACAGGTAAGATAAAACAGTCAGACATAAAGACAAAGGACCGTTCTCATATATAATATGTACAAGCAGTCAGAACAGACTAAAACTGTCTGTAATACTCAGAAGAACATTGATCAGAAACTATTGATCACCATTAATTATTGAAGGTAGATAATGGAAGGCTGGGCCCAGTATGGACCCTTGAGGAACGCCCATAGATAGAGGTAGTGAAGCAGATTGGTAACCCTCTGTTCTCTCTGGCGTACGACCTAAGATATAACTTCCAGACCATGCCACAGATGTCTGAGAAAGTCCTGTATGTTTGAGTGTGCTAAGTAAGATGTTATGGTCTACAGAATCAAAGGCTTTAGCCAAGTCAACAAACACAGCTACACAATATTCCTTATTGTCAATGGCACACATTTTATCACCAGAATTAAGCCTTTTGCTTTGTCCCCCACCGGGCCCAACCCCCATCCGCCGGGCTTATCTCGTTTTCTGTATACCTTCATAGAAATAACCTCTGAAGGATCTTAGACTCCTTATCTGACCTGTCCTGTTTGGCCTAATCTCTGTTTCTCCACACTGAGGTTGTTCATAAGCCTTTGCAGCTGAATCCAGGTGAGGTGTTCATTTTTATTTTAATTACTGTTGTCTGACTTTCAGTTGGAAAGGTCAGAAACAAGAGCCACCGTGCGTTACTCCGGTGAACTTTGACCTTTTTTATTTCCTTATCCTAGAATTCCTTTAGTAAACCAAAACCACAGATGTGAAATGACTTCAGAAGTCCTATTCTAACCCAAATAGAGATGTTATTCCTCCGTACCGTCACCACGACCTTCACACTGATCCTTTTTCTGCAGCCTGTGACAGCCAGTGCCTGACGTGCCACGCGGCTGCCGTCTGCACGACCTGCCGCGACCCCGCCAGGGTGCTGCTGTTCGGAGAGTGTCAGTACGACAGCTGTGCCCATCAGTACTACCTCAACACCACCACCCGCACCTGCAGAGGTACGCCTGCCAGACCTCCCAGGAGAGGGGCTCCTGATTAACAAGGAGGATACTCTACTCTGCATCCATGTTGCATGAAGGGTGGACGGGCAGAATGGGTTATGGAGTCCATCAATCAAGTGATACCATCTGGGGCCAGATATGCTAACGCTAAAGCTAACTGTAGTGTGTTATAACTCTGTATGACATCATCTGCCGCTCAGAGGGTGACAGGTGAGGTGCATGATTAAAAATGTTAATATCCAGAAAAAAACAAACTAAATCAAGGAAAATCCCAAATCAACCAGATTATTAAACTTCTACAAGGTTCCTTTAAAAGAATGAACAGAAAGTCCAAACCTGGAATGTGATGCTTTTATGTGTCAGGTTTGCTCTTCATCAGGGCTCCAGATGTCAGAGATGGGTTTAAGTAATCAAATGTCCTCTCCTGCAATCCCCTTCACCTCTAATCCTGACCTCCTGTAGAGTGCGACTGGAGCTGTAACGCCTGTAAAGGTCCTCAGAGAACCGACTGCCTGCAGTGCATGGAGGGCTACCTGCTGCAGGATGGCGTGTGCACGCAGAGGTGCTCGCCGGGCTCCTACCAGGATGGAGACCGATGCATCAGTGAGTCCAACACAGAAACCTGCAACCACTGGCAGCTGAATAACGGTTCATGTGTTCATTGCCTCCTGTGTGACTGGGTCAATGCATTTGGTCTAGCCAGAAAGCAGCAATGCAGTCCGACAGGAACACATGCGTCTCACCGATTCTTGCAGACTTACACTGGCTGCAGGATGCAAACAGGATCCACTTCAGTCTTGCTTGTAGTGAACAAGGCTTTGAACGGCCCGTCTCCTTCTTCTAGCTGAGCTGCCGACTCCATATGTCCCTTCACGTTGGCCCACCACCTGCTCTTGTGTCCCAAAGGTCCGTTATACATCACGGGGCAGCGAGCCTTCTCTCATGCAGCCCCAAACCTCTGGACCTCTCTCCTCCTCCACGTGCATTTGGCACCGTCGCTAAGCACGTTTAGGTCTGCTCTCAACTCACCTTTTCACTATTGCCTTCCCCAGGGATTCACACGTGCACGACTCCACCATGCTATGCTTCAGTGACCTGCCCCTTCTTCGGCTGGTTTCCTTCTCTGCTCCGTCATAATGCTCCTCCAACTGCACCATCAGCTGTATCTCCTGGTGCCCTTTACGAACCCAATCTCCGTTCCTTTTGCTCGACTGTTAACGTACGATGCAGTAGTCTTCTCTACCTGAGTTTGACCTTTTCTTGGGTCTGTTTTCTGTGATGTCTGAGCCTATCGCTGGTTTATGGTACAAGGCTTGGGTTAGCTGCGTGAGCCGGTCTGTGTCCGTTAAACACGAGATGTTTAGCTGCACATGAACATGTAACTCATATGTTTCTGATGCCCAACGAGTCGTGGAAGCTAAAATAAAGCAAGAACTTAAATAAAATCTGATAAATATCAAACAAAGCGGTGCTGCTCCACATCTTTGTTTACTTCCTGCTAATTCAGGTTTTTCCCCTTTTTAAATACGATCAGTGAAATTAATTTAATTTCCTGGATTAGAGAACCGTCATTTACCTGCCGCTGCAGAACGTCCAGGTTTATGTCTAAAACGTCTGGAGTGTGTGTGTGTTTGCGTGCGTGTGTGTGTATGTGTGTGTGCGTGCGTGTTTGTGTGTGTGTGTGTGTGTGTGTGTGTATGTATGTGTGTGTGTGTGTGTGTGTGTGCGTGTTTGTGTGTGTGCGTGTGTGTGTGTGTGCGTGCGTGTGTTTGGGTGTGTGTGTGTGTATTTATGTGTGCGTGTGTGTGTGTGTGTGTATATCTGTGTGTGTGTGCGTGCATTTGTGTGTGTGTGTGTATGTGGGTGTATGTGCGTGTGTGTGCATGCGTGTGCTTGGGTGTGTGTGTATTTATGTGTGCGTACGTGTGTGTGTGTATATCTGTGTGTGTGTGCGTGCATTTGTGTGTGTGTGTGTGTATGTGGGTGTATGTGCGTGCGTGTGTATGTTTGTGTGTGTGCATGTGTGTGTATGTGGTAATATGTGCGTGTGTGTACGTGCGTGCGTGTGTGTGTTTGTGCGTGTGTGTGTGTGTGTGTGTGTGTGTGTGTGTGTGTGTGTGTGTGTGTGTGTGTGTGTGTGTGTGTGTGTGTGTGTGTGTGTGTGTGTGTGTGCATCATTTCATTAATTTTCAACAACACCGTGATGGCTGGTTCCAGATGAACCCATACACTCATGAGTGAATGTGTCAGGGTGTGGGGTTGTTTTCTGACCCACATGAGACAGAATCGTTCACCGGACAAGGAGAGGAGGTGATGAAGGTCCCACCAAATCCTGAACAGGTGAGTTTAAAGGAGTCCACTGATCTCAGGCTCAGGGGGAGAGAGGTCCAGAGTCTGGGGGCCACAGCAGCAGATGATCTGTCACCTTTGACCTTTAGCCTGGCGCTGCACAACCAGTAGTAATGAAAGCATAATGTTAAACCAAACATCGTTTAACTCTACTTCCTCTGAAGCATTATAAATAGTATGATCCATAGGTCATACAGGACTCAAGGGGGTCGGAGCGAAGCCTTTTCTCAGTTTTTGGTTTAAGGCTCTTCTTCTGTGGTTTCAGGCTGCGACGACCACTGTCTGACATGTCAGGGTCCGGGTCGGTGCCTGGAGTGCCGTCCTCCCTACGCCACTCTGCGGGGACAGTGTGTGCTCCAGTGTGGCAGAAGCTACTTCCTGGACGTCTCCTCAAATGACTGCAAGTGTAAGAACTCTTTTGATTTAGTTTTAGTTTCAATGATTTTTAGGAGGTAAAAGTCAACATCTGCATCATCCATCTTCACTAGCGTGCTCCTCTGACTGCGTGCTGTGTGATGAGGTCGGACGCTGCAAAGCATGTCGTAACCCCACCTACCTGATGGAGGGATACTGCACCCCCGACTGTGGGCGTGGCTTCTACTCTGATCGGAGGACGAGGACGTGTCTGGGTAAAAAAGCTCTAGTTGATGAAAGGCTGCTTCCACTTAACTCTTCCTTTAAGGTTGTCTTGATTTGATTTCTTTATTTCTCACAGTGAAATAAATGATTTGTTTATGAAACTATAGATTTTAACTTTCAGAGTCAAAACTTAGTTTTTTTTTTTTTGGTTCTTTGAGTTAAACTGGTCAAAACTGGGATCAGCTGTCCTAACCAGAGTCTTCACATGATTATTTATTAAGTGGATCTACATCTAATGAAACATCTTCTGTACATTCATTCGGTGCAGTTCTTGGTTCTTTGAAAACACAGAAAGTAGAGTTGCTCTTTAATTTGTTCTGCTAACTTAAGAGCAGGCTTAAGACTCACTTTTTTAGTGAGGATTTACTTTTTTATAATTATGTTTTATATTTTACTATTTCTACAATTATACTGATCACCATTTATCTGTCTTTCTATTACCTCGTTATTTTATTCTTCTACCTATTCTAATACTTTACAGCGTTTCTTCTGTAGGAGCCCTCTGCCTCAGGGCCGGTGGTTGGGGCAGCAGCCTTGGTGTTCTCCAGGTAGTGCCTGTGTGTAGGTGGGGGCCCTCGCCCTCCCTCCTCTGGGCGCCCTGTGTCGGTGCCCTGGCTGCTGCCGTGAATCTGCTACTGTTGGGGCAGATGGCTCCCCCGATGGCATTTCCTTACATACCTGACTCATCTGAGCCCAGCCCAGTGTGTGTGTGTGTGTGTGTGTGTGTGTGTGTGTGTGTGTGTGTGTGTGTGTGTGTGTGTGTGTGTGTGTGTGTGTGTGTGTGTGTGTGTGTGTGTGTGTGTGTAACATTCATTCCAATCAGACCGAATCGGATCAGAACATTCCGATTGACGTGTTTACGTGCAGAATTTTTTATCTGATTGGACGTTCAATTGGATTAATTGTGTCCATGTAAATGTGGCTACTGTTGGTGATGTCACTTCCTTCTCTGTTTATCTGCAGGCAGCAGAGGGCGGTGCCCCTCCTCGTCGATGACACAGTCCCATGTATGATCTAACGGAGATCCCATCATACCCTGTTTTTTCACTGTTGCTATTATGGCATAAAACATACACTGGAGCAACCGCACGCCAACTCAGCACACGAACAGGTGAACATAGAAGAGTGTGAGAGAGAAACAAGCAGAAGAGACGATGGGGTCTACACATTACATCACACACGGGACTGTGCCATCGACGAGGAGACGGTGCGGCCCTCTGCTGCCCGTACCCTAACGGAGATAAACGCGGTCACAGCTCTGAGGATGACTACAGGAAGTAGCTGAAACGTTAGTAGGCAAGGTAAAGAACAACTCCTTCTTTCTGTGTTTCAGAAGAGCCCAGCAACGCAAGTCTACGTGTTATTAGTCAGAGGAGAGAAGATGAAATACATTTCTGCTCTTCACACGCTCCCGACCTCGTTAGCTTGTATAAATCCTGACCTCAGATGCAGCAGCTCCTAACACACACACACACACACACACACACACACACACACACACACACACACACACACACACACACACACACACACGCGCACACACACACACACACACACACACACACACACAGTCCTCCTCATCTCAGACTTTTCCACATAAAGACCAGAAACGACGAGTCTGATTTGAACTCCTGACCCAAGCGTCCATCTTCAAAAGTGGGTTTGAAACCATCACCAGTCCGTGTCTCACACGACCTCAGCGTTAGAGCTCATCAGCATTTGAAGCTGAGCTCATAAATAACCCAAATGACCAGAAGACGTCACGGTTTAGTCCACACGGCTTGTTGCTAGGCAACGGGAAGGTTAACCAAAGCTTTCGGCGGCTACACAAACAGTAAAACTCCCATGATTGGGTCCGGAGAGGATAACTGTTGTTAAATGTTAATGTGGATGGGAAGCTTTGAATTCCTGATGCGTCTTGACTAAATCAGCTCCAGAAGTTACAGGATTCGCTTCTGCGGCGTGGGAATTAACGCCTTCATGATTCTCTTTTTTATTACGCCGTGAAATTTGCAGCTTGTGCAGAAAATGCTGCAGTTGGACTGGGTTTGCTTTTATGGAGATAAAGTTTTTCATTTCCTGAGAGCTGAGAACCCATGGATGAACGTTGGACCAGTTATTGTTGTTGTTGGGTTAAAATATGTGTTATTTCTTGTTTCAGTGATTGAACTTGGTATTTTTCTAAAGAACATCAGTTTGATGAGTACGAGTGCGTTGTTTTGTCTCGGAGGCGAACTTCTGAGCTCTCTCACACACAGAAGCTCGTTTCTGTTGTGGAACGGCTGGTTTTCCGGTTTTATTACTGACTGGGATTCAGGGACTTCTAGTGGCGTAAGCAGCAACCTGCCTCGCCATTTTCCTTTCTCATGCTTTTGTCCCTGCTGGGCCTCTGTAGTGCGTTGTGGGGGAAAATAGCAAAGTTTAGCCTTGAACCACCGAACTTTAAACAATTGCCACTAGACCACAGAGGTTTTGTTGCTGTGTGATGTCACAGACTCTACATCCAACTGTGGTTACGATTATTTCTTAACAACCAGGCTACTGCTGCGTGGGCCCAGGTGGGCTGCATGGTGGCCTCGCAGCCAGAAAGTTGCAGGTTCAAAACCCAGCCGCTGCCTTTCTGCGTGGAGTTGCATGTTCTCCCTGTGCATGCGTGGGTTTCCTCCGGGTATTGTACGTCGCTTTGGATGAAAGCGTCTGCCGCGTAAACACACAAACATCCTGCTGAGGCTTTGAGGTTCCTGTTAGCCGGTCCTCAGGAATACCAGGAAAACCCGTAGTCTGCAGAGCGACGGAGAACTCCTGGCACTCACAGAGCACAGACGCTTCCCTTTTTGCTCCCTTATCTTTTTCCCCAAGGCTCTTTGTCCCGTCTGCCTACAGAGCGCTTCTCTGCATTTCCTCAGGAAATCACTATTTTTCAGAAATGGATTTAATTAAATGGTCATTCAACGCGATTGATAAGATTTTTTTTAATCACCCGAATTGGCTTCACTGGAGGACTTGAATGATCAATACAGACTTTAAGGCAGAGAGGAAAATTATCTCTGCCTGACCCAAACAAAGTCCTGTTATCCAATCTGACGCCATAAGCAGCCTTGGAGTTGCAACAACCCCCACGATGGAAGGAATGCAGAGAGATGCTGTGAAAACCCTACCAACCCCCCCCACCCCCCCCCCCACCCCCCCGCCTTCAGATTGTGGTCTCTGCAGCGAGGTCATCAAAATGGAGGCACTCAATGTGCTCTGTGCTTTCCCATGACCTCCCACCCACCTGTGGATTCAGTTGGCCGAGCGCCACACGGGCTGCTCCCGCTGAGGAAACCAGGGTCCCAGCCCCCCCCCCCCCCCCTTACCAGGTCTCATGTTGTGAACTGTGACGTTCGTGCTTATATGTTGAGGTGTTTTTTTTTTTGCATAGTAGAAGTGCTGGGTGTAACTCTGCTCGGCCTTTTTTTCCCTCCCCCAATTCTCCTCATGTAATCCCCTCTTCATCTATTATCTAACGGTAGTGCGACTCTTGTTGCGAATGAACACAGTACCAATTCTTCTTTATTGAAACAATTGCCCCTCGGGGATGATTAAAGTTTTTTTTTTATTGAATTTGAATTGAATTGAATTGAATTGAACTCCTGGTATTTTGAAATGGTGGGTTCCCCCGGAGAGCCGTGGCCGTGAAAGCCTTCATGAGATCTAACCCTAACCCTGTGACCTACAGGGGAACAGTTTCTCTCCCTCTGAGGTAAATGCGGCGGTCCTGTGCAGTCATTCTAGTGTTTGCCTGAAGGCTTAACCTAATTCCAGAGCCAAAGGAAACCTTTCCCATCACAACAAAAAGGGAAAAATGAAATTGTGAAGTCTACCGGTCCAAACATGTTGGTGCCTGCTGGCTCCGTTAGAGGGTTAGGATGAGCTGATCTTTTGGAAGTTCAGCCACTTCCGGAGAAATCTGCCTTCCCAGTCCCTCCCTAATGCTCCGGCTGTAATTACATGGGTTAAATGTTTTAATGATGGTAATTAGGATCCAGGTTTCCTTCTTGTTGAGTGATTTATGATGAGCTTCATCAGAACCTGTGCTGTCCCTTTCTGCTGCACTCAGCGCTTCTTCTGATGTATTAATGAGCGCTGGCGGGTCTTTGTTAAAGCTACAGCACCTCTGTAGCAGGAAAACATGAAGAATAAACCTTTATTCTTCTGCAGTGAACACCCACGCTCCGGTCCTCCACATCCATGGCTCCCTGCTGGTTCCTCTGGGTGGTTCTGCCCCGCTGCAGCCCCCCCTGCTTCAGGTGAGGGACCCAGACGGAGCGTCCGAGCGACTCGTCTTCCAGCTCGTCCACGTTCCGAACAACGGACGTCTGTTCCTGTTGACGCCGGACGCAGGAGACGGGGAGGGCTGGCAGGAACTCGGCAGTGGAGACAGCTTCACGTGGGCCGAGCTGAAACTGAGCCGGGTCCACTTCACCCACCTGAACGACAAAAGCAGGTAGAGCTTTAGCCCAGAGATGCTGTTTGTCTTAGTTTACCAACAGAAACTACAACCGATGATGCAAGCTTCCACTTGTTCAGGTACTGAGTCCTGGTTCAGGTCGGGTCAGAGCCTGGGATCTGGTTTGATGCTGTGGGGATCATCAGCGGGGTTTCTACTCCTGTTAGTCTGATTAGTTCTTTCCTGGTTTTTAATCCGCGTCGGTAAACCCACGGAGGGATCGGACATCGATTCAGACGTGTCTGTTTAATCACGCCGGCTTTGCATTTCATCCCACTTCTGTTGACCTGGTTCTGATGGGAAGGCGTGTTTCAGCACCGAGGATCAAAGGGAGTGTGGAGGCTTTCGTTCTTCTGACAGAAATCCAACAAACAGTTGATTCTGATGCAGCTGGGCCCAAACCAGCTCCGATTACAGCTCCGTGTTGCAGCAGGAGTGGTAGATGTTCCTGCAGAGCTGCAGACAAGCGCCTGTCTACTCTGGCCTCTTCTTCACGCCTGAGGCGTGCTCATTATTACACGTGTGTGCTATTAGTAACACTGAACTACAGAAGCTAGAGTTCAGAACATATGAATGTGTGACATGCCGGGCTGCAGAAGGCCCACAAGCTGCTCTAAACCAGGCTTCGTGCATCTGGTCCACTCGGTGGTCTACTGGGAACACCTCCTGAGCTGTTCTCTGGCGCTCCTGTTTCAGGAAGTGGAAACGAGCTGGAGGACAGGTGAGCTTCAGACAACAGGTGTCCACCTGCAGTGTTTTACTTCCTCCCAACCTGCTTGTCTGGTTCCAGCCTCCACCCCAGGGGGTTGTGGGTATTAGGCCTTTGATGATTTTGAGAGGTGTGTGTGTGTGTGTGTTAAACGGCGTGTCGCCTTCAGTCAGAACGGTTTGACCACTCCGGTCTGGCGCTGTTCTCTCGCTAATTCTGTCTCCTCCTCTGTGCAGGGCCGGAGAGTTCTCACTGCGTGTTGCAGACCCCCAGCTGTTCTCTCAACCAGCAAAGGTTCCGGTTCAGGCTGTGTCCATGCAGGTAAACAGTCACTTTCTTCACTTCCGGGTTGATGGAAACTCTAGAGGAGTTCTCCACTTCCCCTCCAAACCACATGGAGCTGGCAGCTGTAGCAAGTTTGGTGAATAGTTTTAGTTTTGGTGGAGGTGGAGCTTTCATCAGTGCCATGAAGACGTCCAGATCACCCTCGTGTTGTCATTCTTCCTGGTTTTTAAACTGGAGGAAGGTGGAGGTGAGGAGTGATGGAGAGGCAGTTAGGATCTTCATCTGCATTAATGATGATGTTGCTGCAGTTCAGCCTTTTGCTCTTAACGCTCACCTCAGCTCCTTCTGAGGGCTCTCCTGGCCTCTCCAGACCCAATAGCCCCTCCGGCGAGCTCCGGCTCTGCATTGTGGTCTCCTTCCAGGAAAATCTCCTGAAGGGAGTGAGGTAGGCGACCTAATCAGCTGACTCCTTTAATAAGAAGGAGCAGCGACTCTACTCCAAGCTCTTCCTGAGTGGTGGTTTAAGCCCCATAGCCTCATTTCTACTTCTCCGACGCACACAATGCCATTATCCATCCTGGTGGGCCTGCTGGAGAGCCCTTGCTAGGACGGACGGAGTCAAACTCTCTTTTCTAAACATATGTCCATCAAGACAGAGAAAGCAAGCCTGTGATTGGTCAGGAAGCCGCTATCATCTACAGCTCCGCCATCATGCCCTCAATAAGAGAAAGATAGCCAAAGATATCTATAGGCAGACGGGGAGCAGCTTGAAGAATCCCTCGCAGAAAAACTACAATATGAACGTTTTATTCCCCCTTGTCTGGAGGAGTGAAAAGATACGTAGCTAGCGTTTTATTTGTGGACGGAAATGACAGAAACATGGGTTTAGAGGTGGCGAGCGCATGAAGAGGTGGAGGAGGATGAGGGACAAATTTATCCGTGTTAAAAAGTCTCTTAAATACAAAAAACACAATATGAACACCCTCTCTTGGACCGGATACATGACAGGTTACCACAGAGCAGCGCTACGCCCTCTGGTGTCCTGGCAGGGAATTGCTGCGCAACACTCCCCGGGAGACGGAGACGTACGAGGACAAAACGTCTCCGTCTGTCCGTCCCTCGTGGAGCTGACAGAGACGTATACATTAGGCTTCACTGCAACAGGGAGGATTAGAGACACGAAGCATTTATCAACGATGTAGCGTGATTAATGATCACACTACAGTTTAATTATGACCAATAAGATGTGATGATTCCATATAAATATGAAATATCAACCTGACTGATCTTTGAATGTTTAACCAGAAGATTCTAGGGTTCTTTGCTTCTTCAGGGACCATAAACACACTTCGTATTAATTCATACAGAGTCAGTATGTAGTTTTAAAATGAATTTAATTATTTTTCCTAAACTAATAATTTATATGACAATATATAAATAATGAGATGTGGTGTGGTGGAAGCTAGATGTTGTAGCAACCGTTCTTTTTATCTGAGAGAATTTGTGAAATCTGGTGTAAAAGAATTTGTTGTTTCTTCTATACTAGAGAGTTACTTATTGATAAAAACCTCATCAGACCCCAGTATGCAGGCTTACAATCCTCTGGTATGAGTTTCTCCCGGCGGTCCGGAGGTTTGCGGTCAGTGGTGAGGTCACCGGACGTCGAAACCACGATACTCAGAGATTAGTAGCTTCCTCTGATTTGGGCTTCCCCGGCCATGAGATGCAACCCGGGGTCTGCAGGTTAGGTGTGAAGTAGCTCTGAAAAGAGCTGTTGTGTCTGTAATCACTTGCAGAGTCGCAGAAAGGTTTTGACTTAAGGTCAAAGGAGTTTGCTTCAAAAAGGCTTCTTTCCCGATTTGGTCAGCTGGAAACTGAATTAATCAGGAAGTAATTCTTGCTGTAATAAACCACAATGTTATGAGATTTGGCCAATCAGAATTTGCCACACCAACACACACACACACACCAACACACACAAACACACACACACATGCACCATTTACTAGAATGTTTCCAAAGTGTCTCATAACCAAGCCTCCCTCAGCCTTTCATCCTGTGTCGTTTCCAGCCTCCGAGGGTCGTGACCCTCGCGCCGCTGACCTTAGACAGCCCCAGACTCCTGGCAACCATCACCAAATCTGTCCTGCACATTGACGACCTCGACAACCCCGCTGACGTCTTCATCATGGTGCTCGAACCACCCCGCCATGGCCGGCTGACCCGTCTCCATGGCGACCGTGGTCTGAGTAGATTCAAGCTGGAGGAGCTTTCGCAGGAGCAGATCCAGTACGTCCACGACGTCTCCGAGGGGACAGAGGACAGCTTGGTGCTGCAGGTCAACGACGGCCACAGCTACCAGAACGTCCTGCTGCAGATCCACATCACTCACAAGGTATGAAGGACATGGGGGCGGGGCCACTGAGTCTGGGCGGAGGTTTTACAGGTTATCCGCGGGTCCTTAAAAAGTCTGTTTGTTTACTCTCATAAGGGCATCAACATAACCCCAACCCAGACTAAAGCTGATGTATAATTATATTATTAATAATGCTGACATCAGGGGATCAGACGCTGCAAATGAAGATTAAACACAACAAAGATGTAAATCCAGTCAGAGCTCATGTTTAACGTTTTAACTCCACATTTATTAATCATTTAGCCGTTAAGAACAAAGCTGTGAGATCAGTGGACGCAGTGGTCTCCTTCAAAAAGCAGCTGAAGACTCACCTGTTCAGGCTTTGGTGTGACCTTCTCCACCCTCTCCTGGTTCTGCTCTCCCCACCTGCTCCATTGATTTCCCTCTCTCCTATTCACTCTCTCTCTTTCTTTACATTTTTAATCTCAATTGTCTATTTTTGCTCATTTAAAACACATTTTTAATCATTCTCTAAATTCTTTTTTATATTTAAAATTTTTGTTTTTGCGAAGCGCCTCGTGGTTTTTATCTTGAGAGGCGCTCTAGAAAAGATGGTTACTTCTTCTACAAGTCGCCATGCTGGCTTCGTCCATGTCGCTTCCTGGAGGCGTCGCCGGTCGCCGCGGCTAATCCTGAAGATGTCACAAACGTTTTAGGTTTTAGCCCCAAATTTTATTTCAGACCCGCTGTAGCTCCTCAGCAGCTCTGTTGGTCTGGATGTGTACAGATGGTGCGCTGCAGGCTTAAGTCCTCATCTGTAAATCAATTACGTCACGCACACACACACACACACACACACACACACACACACACACACACAGCAGTAGTGGGCTACTGTAAAATCCCCTGATGCTGCAGGCTGTCATGCATTAGTCGAAGCGGGATTGACGGGGTGATGGGATGTCCTCGGTGTGTGTTTGTGTGTTCAGGCCCTCTCTGTTCTGCTTCATCCTCGTTGTTTGATGCTCTGCTGAGTAACTCTCAGACGGATGGTGGTGATGTCTGGTTAGCGCCTGGTTTCAGCTAGCAGAGTGTTTAGTAAACATGAGACGGGTGCACTAGAGTCTTATGGCTGTTCTTGATATCCAGCGTCTAATTAAAGCCTCTTAGTTGGACCAAGCTGTCTTATATACATGTAGCTCACTGCAGCAGCATCCACATGGGGAAGGTACTTTAGTACATAAGAATATAAAACCGGATCAGAACAACCGTAAAACCCTGAAACCTGCAGCTCTTTAACAGCAACAATAACACCACCAAGGGTTTTAGCTGTGGGAATTTTAACAGAACATCTTCAGTGACTCCAGAGCACCACCCCCATAGCCTAGCAGCAGCAGTCCATGCCAGGCTGAGTCGGGAACAAAAAAACTCCCTGAAAGTCTGAGGACTGAGCTCTAAAGCCGAGGTGTAATCGTGCTGTAATGATCCTCTGATGGATCGACTTTCTCTGGATGGAGTCTGAGGCTGAATAGGAAGCAGGACACTCAGCGTCGGTTCAAGGCCTGTCATGGGGAGAACACTCAGAGCCTCGGAAAAGTCACGATGGCTCTGTTCCACATCAGAAATGGAAGAGAATTTGTGTTCCTGATCAATTCTGCAGCGTAAGGACAAGGAACATCTTGGCTCTGCATGGGAAGAGGGTTAGGGTTGATCGTAAGTTTTTAAAACATTCAGAGTTTGTGGCCTTTAAAGAAAAAACCTACACTTAAATCTGGGATTAAAGATGTGGTTCACTGAAAAACTCTGTTTTAATAATTATTTCTCAATATAATGGGACACACACACACATACATATATATATATATATATATATATATATATATATATATATATATATATATATATATATATATATACACGTATATCTCAATCAGGACCAGAGTCGTCTCAAGGACCTTCACACAGTAAACATTCCAATACAGGTCAGGTCATTAAGCCAATCAGAAAAATGTTTCCTATATAAGTAGGGCTGTAGCGAAGCCTCTGTGACGTTGACGGCTCGATTCTAAAAATTCGTCGACGTCAGATCCGGTAGTCGACGCACCACGCCCACTTGTTGCATGCCCAGGAGTTTGTAAATTGAGGAGGAATCTGCCTGTTTTTCCTCTAGTTTGCCCTCTTCTCCGCCTTCACCAACATCTCCACCAAAAACAGAAGACCCGGAACAATGTCCGTCCGCTACTAGATTCGTTTCCTGTTTTGCCCGCCGCTGGGACGCTACTCGAGGTTAATCGTAAGCTGGACAATGTTCTAGCTGCGATACCGGTATTAGTGCGCAAAATGGGTGTCATCTCGAAGAGTGTCACCGGGCGATATGGACAAGTTTAAAAACCAAATTGGCTTCACTGCAGGACTTGAATGATCAGTTTAAAGACTGAAGGCAGAGAGAAAATTATCTCAGCCTGACCCAAACAAAGTCTAGTTATCCGAATCTGACGCCATAGCAGCCTTCAAGATGCTAACAACAAACCCCCACGAAAGAATGCAGACAGATGCTGTGAAAACCTGACCCCAACCCCTTGGTGGACTTCAGCCCGGCGAGGTCATCAACCTGCAGGAGTCAATGTGCTCTGCGCTCCTCCCAAGATCTCCGTCCCACCTGTGGCGACAGTGATTGAGCACCGTACATGGCTGCTCTCGCTGGGGAAACAGGATCCCAAAAAAAAAAAACTTGGGATCTTGTAGGCGTGGCGGTGGGATTTCAGCCGTGGCGGCCCGCCACGGCTACGCCTATGTAAGGGAAACCCTGCATTGCGGTAATATTACGCCGATATGCCGGCATGGTGTGTCCTATAAAAGCACCTTGGGAGAAACAGGTTCCCAGCCTCACCTTGCACCTACCTATCGGAGTGTCATGTCTGTGAACTCTAAAGTTTCTGTGCTTACAGGTGCTGGCCAGTAAATTAGAATATCATCAAAAGGTTGAAAATATTTCAGTAATTCCATTCAAAACGTGAAACTTGTACATTATATTCATGCAATGCACACAGACCAATGTATTTCCAATGTTCATTACATTTAAATTTGATATTCATAAGTGACAACTAATGAAAACTCCAAATTTGGTATCTCAAAAAATTAGAATATTCTGAAAAGGCTGAATATAGAAGACACCTGCTGCCACTCTAATCAGCTGATTTACTCAAAACACCTGCAAAGGCCTTTAAAAGGTCCCTCAGTCTTGTTTTGAAGGCACCACAATCATGGGGAAGACTTCTGACTTAACAGCTGTCCAAAAGACAATCATTGACACCTTGCACAAGGAGGGCAAGACACAAAAGGTGATTGCTAAAGAAGCTGGCTGTTCGCAGAGCTCTGTGTCCAAGCACATTAACAGACAGGCGAAGGGACGGAAAAAATGTGGTAGAAAAAAGTGTACAAGCTCTAGGGATAACCGCACCCTGCAGAGAATTGTGACGACAAACCCATTCAAAAATGTGGGGGAGATCCACAAAGAGTGGACTGCAGCTGGAGTCAGCGCTTCAAGAACCACCACGAGGAGACTCATGAAAGACATGGGATTCAGGTGTCGCATTCCGTGTGTCAAGCCACTCTTGAACATGAAACAGCGCAAGAAGCGTCTCGCCTGGGCCAAGGACAAAAAGGACTGGACTGATGCTGAGTGGTCCAAAGTTATGTTTTCTGATGAAAGCAAGTTCTGCATTTCCTTTGGAAATCAAGGACCCAGAGTCTGGAGGAAGAGCGGAGAAGCACAGAATCCACGTTGCATGAGGTCCAGTGTAAAGTTTCCACCGTCAGTGATGGTGTGGGGTGCCATGTCATCTGCCGGTGTTGGCCCACGCTGTTTCCTGAGGTCCAGGGTCAATGCAGCCGTCTACCAGGAAGTTTTAGAGCACTTCATGCTTCCTGCTGCTGACCAACTTTATGGGGATGCAGACTTCACCTTTCAACAGGACTTGGCACCTGCACACAGTGCCAAAACCACCAGCACCTGGTTCAAGGACCATGGTATCCCTGTCCTTGATTGGCCAGCAAACTCGCCTGACCTTAACCCCATAGAAAATCTATGGGGTATTGTGAAGCGGAGGATGCAATACGCTAGACCCAACAATGCAGAGGAGCTGAAGACGACTATCAGAGCAACCTGGGCTCTCATAACACCTGAGCAGTGCCACAGACTGATCGAGTCCATGCCACGCCGCATTACTGCAGTTATTGAGGCAAAAGGAGCCCCGACTAAGTATTGAGTGCTATACATGCACATTCTTTTCATGTTCATTCTTTTCAGTTGGCCAACATTAGAGAAACAAACATTTTTTCATTGGCCTTTAGAATATTCTAATTTTCTGAGATACCAGATTTGATGTTTTCATTGGTTGTCACCTATAAATATCAAAATTAAACGTAATGAACATTGGAAATACATTGGTCTGTGTGCATTGCATGAATATAATGTACAAGTTTCACGTTTTGAATGGAATTACTGAAATATTTTCAACCTTTTGATGATATTCTAATTTACTGGCCAGCACCTGTATATGTTGAAGGTTTTTTTTTTTTACCCTCTAACCCAGGGATTCCCAAAGTGTGGTGCGCGCACCCTCGGGGTGCCGCTAGGGGGTGCGCAAGGTGAAAAGTGTAATGGCTGCGGAGCTCAGAGAAGTCTGTCATATGTCACCATTTGCATAGCCAGAAGCTCATTTGTGGGCGGGCCTAAGAAAAAGTAAGTGGGCCCGATAAATGTAATTGAAAAGTATATTTTTGCGCGTGCGTGCGTGTGTGTCCTCCACATGTGCCCTAGCTTCATAATAATAATGCGCCGAGCTTCAGCACTCTGGCCTGCGCACGCCGATATGTTCCGTATTTGATCATTTTTACCGATGTTGGAGGAATCTGAAGGTGGTGAGTCATTCTGGCAGATTGTAATTAACACCTGTCTCATGCAGGTGTTCTGACATTGTAAACCTCACACACAGAACATTGTGGATGTAACAAAATAAATAAAAAATGATTCCCATTCAGGCTATTAACAGCGCGCTGAAGATCTGAAGTTCAGAGTGCGTCTGTCAGAGGTCAGACGCGTTCCAGCGGAACCACGGCTCACGGGTGCACATGTGAGCACATCTGGGCTGGGCAGAAGTAACTTTACAACATTGGTTTAAATAGCGCCAATAACAAGACGCGGTGACTTGAGCGACTCATGGAGCTGTGCCGCGCGCGCGCACACACACACACACAAACACACAGATTCAATAAGAGCGCACGCTGCGCAAACTCCAGCGCGCCATCAGACTGAAGACAAAAATGAGCGCTGCCTCCTCCGTGATAAAAACTTTTAAGAGGTTTTATAACATTTTTCATTCAAGGTCAAATTAAGATATTAGCTTCTATTTTGGGATGACGTATTAAAGTCGGGTCTGCTCCAGCCAGTGACTCCGAACCTGAACTCATGTTACTGCAGCATTTGTTATTCCGGTCCGCGTGGCAGCGGATCGCAGATTCAGCCACACCATAAAACAGCAATAAGTCGGTCTGAGGCAAAATATCTTTTCCATCTTTTCCCCTATAGACATTTGATTACACACAAGTAGGTGACCAGCTCAGGTTTACGCAGAGCAGAAGGAAGGAGAGCGCTCTGGCCGCACAGGTTAAACGTTCCTACTTTAAGAAAACCGTTAAATTGCATTGTTTATGTGCTACCTGGGCACTCTAAATATTTATTTAAAATTAAATCAAAGGAAATTGTAATGGTATCGAATGTTTATTAATTACTATTTAAAAAATGAAAGTGATGGGGAAAAAGGTCGATCATATATTTTTATATATATATATATATATATATATATATATATATCCATGCCCTAATGTGGGGGCTGGGAGGTGCGTCAACATGGTCGGGTCATAGAAGGGGGTGCGTGGCTAAATAAGTTTGGGAACCACTGCTCTAACCCTTTTCTATCCGCATATGGGAGTGTGAGGTATGCACATGCCCACGATTCGGCCTGATTCTGTTATGTTGTGTCTTGTCTTATGTCAAGTCCTGGGTGGGTTGTTCTGAAACTGTAATTTTGTTGCACTGGGACTCCTCTATTGATCTAAATGGGCCAGCGGGCCAGTACATGCAGGACGGTGGGCCCTGAGGACCAGGATTAAGAAACAGACACTGTGAGATACAATCTGTGGGCCAAATATAAATAGACCAGGGCAGGATTTGGCATGAGGGCCGTAGTCTGAGACCTGTGTTAGACCATCCAGTGCAGAGCGGCAGGTCAGTGCTCTTATTTTGACAAGCCACAGCGTTTCCGTCTGCATTTGTTAGTGTTTCTTCTAACTAAAAGGTTTTAATGATAAAATAACACTCCCAAATAGTTGTCCTGTCTGAGTTCTGCTCATTCAGAAACATTTATTTCAGATGAAATTAAAATGCGTGGCCACAACAGATTTGGTTTTCCTTCGGAGAAACCATGAAATTATCCTGTTCACCCCTCCCCAGTGGGAGCGTGGAATGGCAAGAGATGCCATTGCGACAGCGCGAGCGACCGGGCTGGCAGCCAGCTGATGTTTTATGGATGAGATCCATCTCAGCAGTCATTTATTTCTGCTTCTGTGGACTGAAGCCAAAAGCAGCATGTCCAGCTTCAACTCTGCTCGCAGAAACCCTCTAAAGGCTCATCTGTAATGTTTTTATTTCTACGTGGATTCAGTGGCCGAGGTCGAGAAATGTTTATTGTGAAGCTGAAGTATGGATTTGTGTAGTTAAAATACCAGAGAGCAATGGAGTTGTCATTTCATTCAGCAGCTTTTAGGAGTCCTCAAGGTCTTCTGACTTCATCTTCACTAGCTTAGCTTATCTAGCAGCTAACTGAAAGAGACCTGGCACACTGGTCCAGAAGCCCTTCAGAATAAAAGTCATTGCTACCTGTACATTTAGCTGCAGCCAAAAGCTCTGGATTCAGTCCTAAGGTTGAATAGCTAGACTGAATAAAAATGGAGAAAGTGGGCAACCTTGCCGACATCCTCTGAATAAATCTAATTTGCCGGTGAGGGAGCCGTTTATGCAGATTTGGGCTTGTGGGCAATTATACTCATTTTTAATCCATCCGATAAATTTTTCTCCAAGGTTAAATTTTTCTAGGACTGCAAATAAGTATGACCACTTGACCCTATCGAAAGCTTTTTCTGCGTCTAGCGACAGGAGCAGAACGGTTTTCTTATGAAGCGTCGAGTCCGCTAGGGATTTTTAAAAGCTCAGCATCATCTTTTGGAGCTCAGCTGACCTCCCTGACCTGGTTTCGACACTGATCTTGGCTGTAACCACAGGGCTCTGGAGGATAGGAGGCATGTTGAGCTCCCGTCACATCACTGGGATTGTAATCCTCCGGTCTGAAGTGCGGAGCAGAAACGCAGTTTTCTGCTGCACAGAACGTACCGGGAATGGAAGACGGCGCCGTTCATTCTCTTAGTGTGTACAGGCTCCACACAACAGTTCAGTGTTCCAACTCAACAAGTTTCAGTAGAAACGCCCACAAGTGTCGCTCAGATTGAAGTTCCACATCTCGCTATCTTCTGGTGTAAAGGAATAACTTATTGAGGACCACATGTGCAGCCGTGGCTGGTTAAACACTGAAAGGCTTAGTTTTACAGTCGCCCCAATGCTCCGGTTATAATTATTGATGTCATTTCTTTCTGTGTTTGGGTTTTCAGCCTTGGTTTCCTCATTTTCCATTTTCAGTTTCAGTCAAGAATTTTCATTTCTGTGCACCCTAGCCCTAATCAGACACTCGCAGCAGCTTTAACATTTCTGTTTGTAGGAATGGCCTAAAGTCGAATGATACCAAACAGGTCTCAGCTTAATAATGGGCTAAAGAATGGGGAAGTTTTGTTTGTCGCTAAATGATCAGGTTTAGGCAGAATATGTCATTGTTTATTTAGTCTTTCTGTTGGCCCTTTAGAGGCCAGGCTACGATTTATCTCCTAACAGGCTGTTAGTAACTGATAAGTCATTCTGATAAATGAAACAGCTTCACACGTGTCTTATCGAGCTTCTTCCTGTTTTCCACCTTCTCTTCCTCATTTCTGCTCCACCACTTAAAGGGACTTTTCGGACTTTTGAATCTTTATGCTCGCGACTGCCCCCTCAGGCCAAAAGCCTAACGGCAGCTTCAATAGTAGGCTCGTGCATGAGGCGCGCATGCTGTACGTGCACACTCCTTAACGAAAATAACAGCTGAGACAGTCCCGTGTGTGTGTGTGTGTGTGTGTGTGTGTGTGTGTGTGTGTGTGTGTGTGTGTGTGTGTGTGTGTGTGTGTGTGTGTGTGTGTGTGTGTGTGTGTGTGTGTGTGTGTGTGTGTGTGTGGGTGGGTGGGTGGCCCGGAGGACTGAAGAACACAGGAAATTAATAAAAATAATGTGCCTCTGTCTCTGCAGCTGCACTTTCTCGTAAAAATGCCAGGGCTCATTCTCCAAGACCAGGGCATTGCAGGAGAATGTATGAAGAAGACATTTATTACTTCTATACATGTTTTGGCTGTCAAACTTACTTATAGTCCCTTTAGACACTTTGAGCTCATTTGCTTTTCTTTCACTCCCAGAATCAAAGTGAGAGAAATTTGCACAAGCTTTTCATGACTTTTGCACCTGCTTGAAGCAGATGAGCTTGTTTATCTAATGAGGCTCCACTGATCTCACGTGGAAAAGCTCATTAGATTGTATTATCGAGCAGAAACATCTATTTAGTCCAACCTGCCCCGCTTAGCGTCGAGCTTCTGGCTGCTTGAGAGAGTTGGAGTTCATCCTGAGAGTATTATCTCCCAGACGATGCCATGCTCCGAGTTAACAGCCTGCCACGCTGACGAATGTTCTTTCTTTGTGTTGTGTTGTGGAAAGGGTGTGATTTGGATCAGGCAGGCTGCAGACAGCAGTACCACAGATGGTTGTTATCAGCAAATCCAGCTCATACCAAAAACACACACTCGGTCCCACACACACACATATCCAAGCAGATATGTCACCTCCACGCTCCAGTTATCTCCCTCAGTAAAGAGCTGAGTGTGTTTGTCCAAAAGATGAAGACAGAAGTCATTTACAAACATCACTTCAGAAAACAATGGGGAGTTTTCTAAAAGGCCGCCGAGATGTGACGATGGTTTTAGTGTCCTCACACAACCAGGAGACCTCGCTGGGCCTGGATGTGCAGATCGTGGACCGTGTGGGGAAGGATGCTGCTGGTTGTGTAAGAAGGCAGCCAGAAACTCGTTTCAGTAAACAAGTTTCCCTCTCTCCTGTTGATTTCTTCTCTGCCTTTCCTTACATTGTTTTAATCACAATTTTTTTTCCTCATTTAAACACAATTTTAACCATTCTTTGAGATCTTTAGTATTTAAATTCTTTGTTTTTGTGAAGCTCCTCGTGGTTTTTATTTTGGGAGGCGCTTATATAAAAGATGCTTTCTTTCTTTCTTTTCAGACTCGAAAAACTCAGAAAAAGCCATACGGTTTTTATTCAGACAGCGGGGTGACAATCAGAGTAAATGGTCTCGGCTTTAACCTCCTCGACAGCAGGAGGTTTCTGCTGAAGTAGGCTTGAGCGGCAGCGAATCAGCAGCCATCTCTGCTCTCCACAGCAGCCCTCATGTGTGCTCCAGGAGAGGAACGGATCAATACGGCGCTGCAAAAATACGCCTGATTGTCTGGTTTTCTGTCAGTTCACAGACTGAGCTTCGAGGCTATTGTGTTTTTGTATTTCTGGTCCAGAGAGCTGACTCCAGCTCTGTGTTCAGATGACAATGTTGCTGATTGGCTGAAAAGCTCCTGGAAAATGTGCCCGACTAAAAAAGAAGTCGGAGTGCAAAAAGCTGCAGGAATAAGATTGTGTGCGTCGTTCCACGGCGCCGGCGTGTTGAAAGCAAATGTCAGTTTGGATCAGATGTTTGTTGTTGTTGATGTTTTTCAGGCTCAGGACTCTCCCCACCTGGTGACCTTACCCATGACCTGGGTGAGGGAGGGCGGGATGGTGCGGCTTGACAAGAAGTATCTACAGACTGACTACAAGGGAGTCGGAGCTGATGATGTCATCTACACCATCCTCACGTCAGACGGGAAACCTAAATATGGTAAAATGAGTTTTATTTTTAATAAAAATACTTTTAGCGCCGACACCAGTCTCTGGTTCCTGTACCGCTTCGGTCTTCTGAAGCCATACTACCTCAAAGAACCATAATAATCAAAACCTTTTTGTCTTTAAATTGTTGACTGGGGGGTGACGGTGGCGCAAGAGTTAAGTGCTCGCCCTGTAGTCGGAAGGTTGTCGGTTTGATCCCCACTCAGTCTGTCGCTGTCGGTGTGTCCTTGGGCAAGACGCTTGCCTCGCCTGCTGATGGTGTTGGGTGGGACCGTTGTTCGGCAGCCTCGCCTCTGTCAGCGTGCCCCAGTGCATCTGTGGCTACGTCATAGCTCATCAGCATGTGAATGGATGAATGACTGATTTTGTTGTAAAGCGCCTTGGGGGTAAACAGGCCGTTTACCGTCAGTTTGAACGTTTGATTCTGGAAACAAGAAACCTGAATTGGCACGCATGACCTCAAATGGGGAAATAGCGGATCTTCTCATTTATATTCAGAACTCCCGTTAGCCGAACACTTGAAAAATGGATCCCGCCAAAGTTTTGGTGACTCTCACAAAGTCAGCTGAAAAAGGAGATCCAGCTCCAACCGCAGTCAGAGCACAAAAGTCACACCAATGATCGTTTTTCCATGAAGATAAAAAGGTTTCATATCTATGTTTTTACCACATAGTCAAACAACTCTAGTAAACATTGTATATAGTGTTACAGAAGGCCAATTCCACGTTTAATAGTGAATATTTTAGAAGTAATTGGCTCTAATAATGAACTTTACACACAACAACAACCTGCCTGAACCCTGAGCTGGCTCTGAGTCAGCTCTTAACGTCTTCACACTCTAATTCTGATCGGTTCCTGCTCCTGTCTGTCTAGGGGAGGTGGTTCTCATCTCCATGCCTGCCGACGGGCCGCCTGAAGGGTGGAGTTCCTCCCTACCCGAGGATGGAGTATTCACGTCCACAACGTCTTTCACCCAGCAGGATGTGTACGACGGCACAGTCTGGTACCGTCACTTTGGCGTGGGCTCCGATGGCGACTCCTTCCTGTTCCAGGTCAGAGCTGATTCTAGCGTGTTTATGTGGCGGTCCAGTACGGGCGTGGGTACGTGACCTGCACCATGAGTGTAATGTGTTTAGTCCCATGGGCGGGACACAGGAATGCTGAAGACTTCCGAGGGTTAGGGTTGGGTTAGTTACAATGTTTTAACGTTCTGTCTTCTTTATTTGCTCTAAAAGGTTCAATAATAATAAATAATAATGAAGTGTTGCTGTCAGTAAATAGCCAGAGTCCGTGCAATCCAGCTGGAACATGTTGCTGTGATGAACTTTAGTCCCACGCAGTCAGAGCTCGTTTATCCCGACGTCTTTGAACGCCACACTGAGGAAATAGCTGTCCACATCTGAGGTCCTAATCAGGGAGTTGCACTTGTAAACCAAAATGTTTCAATTTCTCTGTTGAATTTATGGGCTTTTAAAGCTTCTGTAGAAACACCAGGCTGACATTAATGTTGAGCCAAATCTGCAGCATAATCAGGGATTTACTGCAGCAGCGCCGCCTTCAGGAAATCCCGCTGACTCTGCGCCGACTCCCATGACAGCACATTACGTGTGATTGTTGGCGCTGGCTCCTCGCTTCATGCTGCTGCTTTACTTGTGACTGACACCGCGGACCACACATTCTCAAACTCCTGTCCTCCAAGCGGGTTGCAGCTGAATAATAAGGACGGAAACCAGACTGAAAGGGCACGTCATCCTGCTGTAGGACTCCAAGTGAACCGAAGCTGCTGTCAGTATTTTTAACCCCAAAAGTCCTCTGAGTGTTCACATTATCAAACAGCGCTAAAGCAAAGTTTTCTTAAGTAACTGATTCTGTCACACAAGTAAAATAATTCAACAGGTTATTTATGAACATTTACGGCTCTGGACTGTCAGTTTCATTCGTCATTCTTGTAATTTTCAGGTTGCCGCTTATTTAGTGCTGCCTCGCAGGCTGGAGCTCATCCACTCAAAGGAAAATAAACCCATAAATGTGCTTTTGGTGTTTTTTTGTCTCCAGGTTTCTTCGGACGTCTCACCGGTCCTACAAAGTGATGCTCAGATGTTCACCATCGGAGTTCTCCCTCAGATCCCAGGATTCCCTCAGCTGGCTCCTGACTGTGACCTGCAGATCGCAGTGAGTAACAACCGAACACTGCGTCCTGATTAAATAAAATTAATTCTATTAGAAACAAAATCTTTAGCATCCTCCCTAATGCGATTTTTCTTCCTCATTAAGTGAGGCAGCATCAGAGGTAACTGTAGAACCTCATCTGTGTTTGAACCGTTTTGATCCAGTTGAGTTTTCAGAGTTATCAAAATATTAGCTTCGTCTAAACCTTCAACTTGCTTTTTAGATCCAATCCCAAACAAATTATTTAAAGATGCATTTCCTTTGGTTACTGCCCCCATTCTAGATATAATCAATCTATCCTTAGTAAATGGGTATGTACCACAAGATTTTAAGGTTGCTGTAATCAAACCTTCACTTAAGAAGCCTTCTCTGGATCCAGATGACCCAATGAATTATAGACCAATATCTAACCTTCCATTTTTATCCAAAGTCCTGGAGAAAATAGTGGCCATCCAAGTATGTGAGCATTTAAACACTAATGCTCTGTTTGAGGAATTTCAGTCTGGTTTTAGAGAGTATCACAGCACTGGAACTGCATTAGTGAAAGTTACAAATGATATTCTCATGGCCTCAGATAAGAATCTTGGAAAAACTGGATGACTCTAAACTTTATGCTTCTAAATCAAGAAAAGACTGAAGTTCTCATCTTTGGACCTGAAATTCAGAAAAAGAAACTGCTTAGTCAGTCACCTGACCTGAAAGGCATTAATTTAGTCTATGAGAACAAAGTAAGGAACCTTCCCCATAGTGCTCCTCGCTCGACTCGCAAGATCACAAAATCCCTTGAGTTTATGGCATTCGCCAGTAAACCCAAAAGAAGGAAATCGAGTTTGATGTCATATGGTGTTGTTCCTTTCCACTGCCAGGATTGAAGCCATGAAAAACACACTGCTTCACTTCTGGAACCATGCTGGGAGTAAAGAAGCCGTTGGGTCACTTGTATTGACGTAATCTACATGGATATGAAGCTGCATCACTGCAATGGACTTTTATTTTGAAAATCACTGGGGATTTTACACTGAAATAGTGTGTGATTTCCTGTCTAGACCTATGTTAACTGTGGAAATCATCCCATCCCAGAAGCGACTTGTGGCAAAAATAGAATCTGATCCCATCTTTAGCAGCGCAGCGTGCTGCTTCCAGGACGGGCTTGAAAGTTGCTGCATTGCAGCTGGCTTGAATCGCCCCACAAACTCGAATGGATTCTGTTTGAAGCAGAGATGTTCAGTTTCGTTTTCACGCTGCTAATGCTTCCAGCGTGCAGCAGGCTTTGGTGGGGTCCTGGAGGGTGAGTGGAAGTTCGCCCAACCAACCTACATGAGTATTGTGGATTTGGAGAAGGCGTTTGACTACTTCCCTCGGGGGGCCCTGTGGGGGGTACGGGGAATGAATCGGGTACCAGTCCCCTTGGACCTTTTATGGACAGGACTTCTAAAACGTAGCTATGGTGTCTGATTTGGTGGCCTAAGGATCAAGGTCAAATCTCAATAGAATATTTTCCTAAAAGCCCTAGTGTCCAGGCTCTCCCTCACGGGTAGGGTGAGAAGCTCCGTCATCCGGGAGGGGCTCGGAATAGACCCGCTGCTCCTCCACATCGAGAGGATGGCTCGGGCATCTGGTTAGGATGCCTCCTGGACGCCTCCCTAGTGAGGTTTTCTGGGCACGTCCAACCAAGAGGAGACCTAAAGAGACCCAGGACACGCTGGAGGGACTATGTCTCTCAGCTGGCCAGGGAACGCCTTGGGATTCCGCCAGAAGAGCTGGCCCAAGTGGCGGGGGAGAGGGAAGTCTGGGCCTCTCTGCTTAGGCTGCTGCCCCCGCGATCTGACGATGGATGGATGGATGGATGGATGGTGGATGAATGGATGGATGAGTGGATGTATTTCGTCCCTCAGCTCGCTAGGAGTGATGAGGTGGTAGAGGGAGCAATAAAGTGTGTGTGTGGGAGGAATAATAACAAAGTGTAAGTGTCCAAAAGAAAATAATTTATTAAACAAATCTAAAGGCAGGAGTTCACAGATGGTAAAAACGTCTAACAAAAGGAGCCGAGCCAAAAGGGCTGGAAAGAGGGAAAATAATTAACTGAAATATTCTTATTTATAATTCTAAATAACACACAAGAGTCGTCCTGAAAAGCAGTGACGCTCGGTCAAAGCCAAAATCGAAGTCAAGGGCCGGTCTAAGGTCAATCCAAAAGTCAATCCGAATCTAGAGAATGCCAGCGAACGAAGTTAAACACAAGGGTACCACGAGGAGAAGAGAAAAGGGTGAACACCTCCGTGTCCACACTTCCATGCACCTTCTCGCTGAATGAGGGCAAGAGGGCAACTTTTACCAGCTGCTCAGGTGATTGTCAAATTACCCACAGCTGGGCACTGGGAGAGAGTCGAGGCAGAAGCCATTGAGGCCATCTTGTGGCCGAAAAGGGGCACTGCATGTAACAGGATGGATGGATGAATGGATGGATGAGTGGATGGATGGATAGATGGATGGATGAGTGGATGGATGAGTGGTTGGGTGAGTGGATGGATGGGTTGATGGATGAGTGGATCGATGGTTGAATGGATGAGTGGATGGATGGATGGATGGATGGATGAGTGGATGGGTGGATGAGTGGATGGATGTTGGGTGGATGAGTGGATGGATGGATGGATGGATGGATGAGTGGATCGATAGTTGGATGGATGGGTGGATGGATGGATGGATGAGTGGATGAGTGGGTGGGTGGGTGGATGAGTGGATGGATAGTTGGATGGATGGATGGGTGAGTGGATGGACAGATGGACAGATGGATGGATGGATGGATGAGTGGGTGGGTGGGTGGGTGGATGAGTGGATGGATGGGTGGGTGGGTGGATGGAAGGATGAGTAAATGGGTGGGGGTGGATGGATGGATGGGTGGGTGGATGGATGAGTGGATGGTTGGATGAGTGGGTGGGTGGGTGGGTGGATGGATGGATGGGTGTATGAGTGGATGGATGGATGGATGGGTGGATGAGTGGATGGACAGATGGACGGATGGATGGATGGATGGATGGATGAGTGGATCGATAGTTGGATGGATGGGTGGATGGATGGATGGATGGATGGATGAGTGGATGAGTGGATGGATGGATGAATGAGTGGATGGATAGTTGGATGGATGGATGGATGGATGAGTGGATGGACAGATGGACAGATGGATGGATGGATGGATGAGTGGGTGGGTGGATGAGTGGGTGGGTGGATGGTTGGATGGATGGATGAGTGGATGGATGGGTGGGTGGGTGGATGGAAGGATGAGTAAATGGGTGGGGGTGGATGGATGGATGGGTGGGTGGATGGATGAGTGGATGGTTGGATGAGTGGGTGGGTGGGTGGATGGATGGGTGTATGAGTGGATGGATGGATGGATGGGTGTATGAGTGGATGGATGGATGGGTGGGTGGATGGATGGATGGATGGATGAGTAAATGGGTGGGGGGGGTGGATGGATGGATGGGTGGGTGGATGGATGAGTGGATGGTTGGATGAGTGGGTGGGTGGGTGGATGGATGGATGGGTGTATGAGTGGATGGATGGATGGATGGATGGATGGATGGATGGATGGGTGGATGAGTGGATGGATGGGTGGATGGATGGATGGATGGATGGATGGGTGGGTGGATGGATGGATGGATGGATGGATGGGTGGATGGATGGATGGATGGATGTGAAAATGTCTGCTGGAGACAAAATACCAGAAAATCATCCATCTGCCCGCCCTGCCAGAAGTGAGCAGCTGTCAGTCTGGATGCTCTTGCCTTCATATGTATCCCCACCCTCATATCAGTGTAGTTCCTTTCCTGTTGCCTAGCAACAGTGACAGCACTAGAAAAAGGTTCAAAACTTAAGTAAATGAAGGGATAAAGAAATGGTATTTCTAGCTGTTGATCTAATTCTTTTGCTTGTTTGTCTTTGTGAGGCGCTGGAGGACCGAGTGACGGAGATAACACCTTCAGCTCTGTCCTTCGTCGACTCCGAGACTCCCAGCGAGAAGCTCTCCTACAACATCACTAAACCGCTCCTCCCAGGTCAAGGTGAGAAAAGCTGCATGAGGAGCGTACTAATGCTGTTACCGAGGTGGAGCCGTTAGAAAGACAGATGAATGTTCTGAGGGAACGTGAGTAAAGCTGTCAGACCTGATGTAATAAATCTCAGTAACATATGAAGGCTTCCTCCCACATCAGCTGGAACGACGGCTGGTTTTACTGTGCCTTGTAGGACTAAACACACTCATTTAAACATTAAAGCATCCCGTCAGACCGGCGCAGAACTACATCGGTCTAAAGACTCGGAAAACGCTTCACAATAAGGCCCATTCATCAACTAATGGGCTGGTAAATGTGTGACGAGTCATTTAGATCAAAGCCGAGGAGAAGAAGCAAACGTTTTTCATGATGTTTTACTTTCAGACTCCAGGTTTGGTCGTGCTGCAGGCAGCTTTCTGTAATCGTCTTTATCTCTAGAAAAACCAAACATCAGCTGTTTAATCAAATATTTACAGATCAATCAGATGTGATCTTCCATATAAATATGAATCATATATCTGATCGGTCTTTGAATATTTAATTTAATATTACCTTTAGGTTCTTTGACTGTTCAGGAACACACACTTCACATTAATTTACAAATCCATACATTAATAAAACTGTATTTAATTATATATTTCTAAACTAATGATCATATATGACAAAGTATGGATGAAATAATAGTTGCACCAAATAACAGACAATGAATGAAATGATGGGATGGATGTTGGATGTTGTAGCAAAACCTTATTAAGTATCTGAGAGATGTGATCAGTGGTGATGTCACCAGATGCAGCGGCTCCTGGAATTTTCACCGGCCCTAAGATGCTACCAGAACCTGCTGGTTAGACGTCCACGTCTGAGGGGCTGTAGCGTCTGATGCCGCTTTCAAGCGTTGCAGAGAAGCTTTGACCTGGAGTCAAGAGAGAGGACGGGTCCAAGTGCTTTGCTCACCCGGTCGGCCGAACCAGGAAGCGGCTGAGAACTGGCTAGTCCAGAAAGTGAGCTAGCCTTTATTAACTAGTGTTTACAAATGCGTTACCAAAATACCTCAGACACCCTTCCTTCACTCAGATACGTAAAAATGTTCAACAGTTATGTGAAGCAAAATGTGTCCACCATTAATGATAATATAGTGATAGATTAACATTAATAATACTAATCTGGTGTGATTTAAGATCTGAAGTAAATCACTACAGGAATAACATTCATGTTGACCCATCACTCACTCACGTAGATTATAGGACACACTATTAAAACACGTTGGATTTAAACATATTGTATTCAACTAAATATGTTTTCTAAACTTATAAAATTAGAAAGTCAGTCATGAGCCAGGGAAGAAAAACTTTTTTCAGAGGATGGATAAGAAGTCCTGCGTCTTCTGCAGCCCGGATGATGTGCTGACACACCACAGGATAAGTTAAGAATATCAGCCCAAGTTCATGTCTTCATATCTGCTCATGTTTTATTCGGTGTGAGCAAGGGCTCAATAGCCAGGTTGCAAATGGTGCAGAATGCTGCTGCCAGATTTTTAGAGGGCAGGCGCAAGTATGGCCACAGTACTCCTGTCCTGGATGTGCTTCATTGGCTTCCGTTGATGTAAGGATTCATTTTAAAATACTTTTGCTGGTTTTTAAAATGTTAAATGGGTTGGCCCCTCTTTACTTGGTGTCACTGCTTCAACCATACACCCCTCCACGGTCACTCCGCTCGGAGAACCTCCTGCTCCTCTCGGTCCCAAGATCGCACCTAAAGACGCGTGGTGATAGGGCCTTTGCTGTGGCAGGTCCTACGCTTTGGAACGAGCTTCCTATCAGCATAAGGGCCTCCACCTCTGTTGCGGTTTTTTAAGGCAAGGCTAAAAACCTACTTTTATGATCTGTCTTTTAACCTTTCTAACTAGTTTTCATCGTTTTACTTATAGCAATCTGTGTACTCACTGTATTTTTATCTGTATCTTGTGATACAATGTTTTTATCTTCTGGATTTAATGTTTTATGGTTTAACTTGATCTGTGTAGCGCTTTGGTGGCAGCTTTTTGCCTGTAAGGCGCAATTTATAAATAAAGTTGAGTTGAGTTGAAGTTCATGTCTTAATATCGGCTAAAGTTCAGAAGTGTTTCTGAATGTCAAGGCGCCTGGCCTTGTGAGGAGATGTCTTACGAGGCCGGGCGCCTTGCTTACGAGGACACTGTCCTTCCTTGGTCAAAGAAAACGGTTAAATGGAACACGCTTGCGTCACGTGACCACAGCTTCCACGGCGGTCACGTAACGTCACGTGACACGGTAGATAACGTTATATTTTATACATATTAGTTTCAATATAAATAAATAACAAGACTTTTACTTTTTAGATTGTGTATATGTTTGTTAAATAAAAAATGAGTTACTACCCGCTAGCCACTGAAGCTGCAACTAATAAGCAACCAACCAACCATAGATAACTTCTTTGGATCTAAAAAAACATTTTAAAATCAGCTGACTTACTTTTAAACTCTAAAATTGTCCCCAAAGTAGCTGCCGGCTTCTGATCCGCTGTCCTTTTGAAAATACGGCGCTATACTCTGTGTAATTTTTGGCCAAGGCAAGGCTACAAGAGGTCTCCCGTGTATCCTTGCTCAGCTAGGTAAACGGCTAACAAACGGAGAACACACGCCTCGGTAGAACATGAACATTGGAACACGTCTTGGCGGCTCCTGATGACGTATCTCCCAGGCAACTGGGGCGGGGCCAAGACATCAAGGCAAGCTTCCTAGGCATTGAGAAACACCCCATGTCTTCATATCGGCTCAAGTTAATGTCGTCACACCGGCTCAAGTTCATGTCTTCACATCGGCACCATGCTTAACGTGTTTAACCCAAAAATAAAAAGTTAAGAGTTCAGATAATCTGACTGGATGTTGAATTGTGGGACATCATCAGTGACATTTTCTTTAGAGAAATTCAAAAACTAAAGTTTTCCTTGTCTTTGTCTCCAGGAGCCATCGAGCATCGGGACAAACCGTACACGGCGGTGAAGATTTTTACGCAGGCCGACGTCGATACCGGTAAAATCATTTACCGACCGCCGGCGGCTCCGTCACACCTCCAGGAGCTTTACCAGTACTCCTTCATTGGTGAGGTTCTCATCCGGACTCATTCATGAGCTTGCAGAGAAAAGCGCTTTGGTCCAGAACCAGTACATGTTCCTCGATGACTTTAACATTGTTGCTCGTTTGTTTGGTTCTGCATTTGTCTTCCATCCTGGACTTTTTTCACTTGTCTCTTTCTAAACCCAACAGGCCTGCCCGAGTCGCTGAGCGTTTATTTCACAGGTAAACCTCCTGTTCCTCCTCATCTCTGCCTGTCTCCTTCTCATCAGAAGCCTCTTCTTACTCCTCAGCCTCCTTCTATTCTCCTGTCATCCTTTAATGTTCCGTGTGGTTTTTATATAAAGATATACATAAATATACACATATATATATAAATATACACATATATATACTTATATATACATAAATATATACATATACATATGTACACATATATATACTTATATACACATATATATATATACACATATATACATATACACATATATATACATATATACACACATATATACATATATATGCGTACATATATATATATACATATATATGTATGCATATATACACAAATATGTATATATATGTGTGTATATATGTATATATAAATATGTATATATATATATATATATATATATATATATATATATACATACATACACATATATGTATATATGTGTGAATATATGTATATATACGTGCATATATGTATACATATATATGTATATTTATGTATTTATATATATATATATATATATATATATATATATATATATATATATATACACATATATGTATATATGTGTGTATATTTGTATATATATGTATACATACGCGCATATATGTTTACATATATATACGTGTATATATGTATACATATATATATATATATATATATATATATATATATATATATATATATATACATATATATAGTACAGGCCAAACATTTGGACACACCGTCTCATTCATTGTGTTGTTTTATCTTCATGACCATTTCCATTGGGACATTTTCACTGAAGGCATCAAAACGATGAATGAACTCATGAGGAGTTATGTACCTAAGCAAAGGAGGGGAGGGGGGTTTTGGTTCTTTGTCTTCTTTAATTTCTTTTTGCGGGTTTTTGATTTTCTTGTTTTTCAGTGTCAGATGGTGAACACACCACCCCTGAGCTGGACTTTGCCATCCTGCTGCTTTCAAACCACCAGCAGCCGCCAGTGTTCCAGGTTCTGGACCCGCTGCTGGAGGTCCGCGTGGGAGGACAAGCCGCCATTGGTACCAGAACACAAGAGCACACCCAGCCTTTACCAGACGAGTGTGTGGCGTCACGCAGTGACTAGACGTGAACTGTTTGTGTATCTCCTGTAGGCGGTCAGCAGCTGGCGGTGACCGACGCTGATACGGCTCCAGACGAGCTTGAGTTTGAGCTGGTGGACGCTCCCGTCCACGGGCAGCTGATAAAGACAGACGACGGCACCCGCATGGACAGCGGTGAGATCTAGATAATGGAGAACTTGCTGATAGGGTTGTAGTTAGGTGGAGACTTATTCAACATGTGACAATTTAGCTCAGTCGGAGACGTTAATGCGATGTAATTTGCTGTGGCGGCCATCTTGAATAATGTTGACTCCTACAGTTATAGAAGATCCATCAGGCTAACTGTTAGGTAATTTGATTTTATCCCATATTACCTTAAAGGACGACACACCCTTTGATAGAGAGAGAGAGTAAATTGATTATTTGTAATGTCCATATGTGTGGCTCAACCAGCCCCCACTCTGCTCCAGCCTTTACCTCACCAGCTCTGCATACCCGTGGTCTCCATCAGGAGACTAGAATGTTAGATAATATTTAATCTCCATAACCCTGGAACCTGAAATAAACACACATGACAACCAGGAAGACATTTTACACTGAATTAGCCAAATGGGGGGAGATCACCATGACACATAACTCTCTCCAGAGCTATCTGCCAGGCGACTCCCACTTCCTCAGAGTCTTCAGTGGTTTTATTCAAGCAACGGGTGGGGGGAAAAGGCGGACCTTCTCAAGTTACAGAGTTACAGAGTTCTCTCAATTAACATCTTTGCTCAACCTTTTTATGAACATACCAACACAGAGATTCATGATGTGTAATGGGCATCTTTTAGGTCTCAAAAAGGTACATTTATAAAAATACCCAACACTAACAGCAGTGGTTGATGCTCGATTATGGCAAAAATAATAATCACGATTATGGTGACTGAAATAGAGATCTCGATTATTTAGGACGATTTTTCAATTTATGTTGATTTTATTTGTTTTTATTCAGTCATAAAATTGCTCAGGTCACAATCAGGACAAAAATAAATAAGAAACAAGATGATCACTAAAATAACTCCTGATTCCCAGTATAAAAAGACTAATATACTTATAGCTCATAGTCTATGACCCAAGGGCTATAGACCTTGGTTTAACTCATTTAAGTCTAACCAGTACAGACCCAAATACCAATATCTTGCAAATACTGACAGCAAGAATTATGGTAAATGGTAAATGGCCTGTATTTGATATAGCGCCTTCTAGAGACCTAGAACCCCCCAAGGCGCTTTACAGCACAATTATGCAGTGGCATTTATAACAAATAAATGCAAATAAATTGATGTTCACAAAATGTTGCATAACATTTATTGAGTCGTGTCAAGGTGCTGTAGGAGAGTACACTAGCACCGTGTCCTCAGACAGATTAGTCATTATTTATCAGTGTGAGGAACGTATTTCTACCTTATTTATAAACTATTTATTTACAAGTCCATCAGTTAATGTAATAATTGTCCCAACCACAGCTGCACCCCCCAACCCAGTCTCAGCAATCGGGGCAAGCTGCACGTGTGTTTAGCGTGCCGCACGTGCACATTTAGCTGTTTTTAGTGGCTCAGGAGTCCGCAGGTGCGGTGTGTGTGTCACTCACTCTGGTTAATCCAACAGGGAGCCGGCTCCGAGAGCTTTTTCTTTAGCGACCGACACATCACTACATCATTCCCTTTCCTAATGTCCTGAAGAACGGTCCGGAGCGCAGGCGGAGTGTTTAGCTAACCTGCAGGAAATGTCGACGACAGTTATCCAGAAAGTGGCTAAGGGTTACCAGAGATGTTTCTGAGGTGTTCTCTAGGTACTTTTAAGATTTAAAAAGTCAAGAAGAGGGTCTGAAAAGCTGTTGGAAATAGCGTCAAAATCGCCAAGTTGGCAACACTGTGAGCGCTTCATTTGCAACTCGGGGCAGCGCAAGTGGGAGGAGCAAATAATCGGCTTGTTTTGTTTTTATAATCGTTCAAAACTCAGATCGTAATCGTGATTAAAATTCGATTAATTGAGCAGCCCTAGTTGATGCTAACCATTAGCTCTTGCTACAGTAGGTTTAACCGTGTGGGGAGGAAGTTCCCCGTAGGAGAAGAGATGTTTCACCTCTCATCTGAGGAATTTTCCCAATCAAGCCCAAACGTGGCTCATCAAACCCAGGTGGAGCATCAGGATTTGCGCCTTCATCACAAACCTGCCATTTCCATTGCTGTGCTGCCCCGTGGTGGTGGATGGACAGGTGGAAAGGGCCTGTTTTATTTATGTACAGAATACTGATTATTATGTCTAATTAATATCAGACCAAAAATGTTTTACTGACATTTTAGGCTTAAACTAGAAAAATCTTTATTAATTCCAGCTTTTTTTTTTTGTTACTTTTGGGATTTTTATTCCTCTGGGTTTTTATGGTAAGAAAATAAAGTAGCTTTTTTCTCTGACCCAACCAGGACTGATGCCATCAATACAAACAACCAAAACTTTACTCCTTCTTTCCCCTTAGGCCACGTTTTCACCTTCAGCGACGTTACCCGAAAAGTTCTGCTCTACCAGCATGCTGGCCTCTCCACCCAGGACGACGCCATGTCTTTCTCAGTCAGTGATGGGATCTCCATGGCAACCACAGTGGTTCAGGTGGTGCTGCTCGTTGAGGGGGGTGACGGGCCACAACGGGACCCCGCAGCCTTGCTGTCTCTGGAAGTGGGCGAGAAAAGCAGCACCATCATCAGACGCTCTCATGTGGCCTACACCGTGAGTGAGAACAGATGCATTCTGGGTAGATTGTTGCTCCGGTTTGCTTGCAGTGAACGTTGATTTTTGTTGGATCAAATTTGTGCTAAACTGCGATTAAACTTCTGAGTGGCCTTCATGTACAAACCCGACGGCATCTTTCATTGTTGACCAGGACAAGACGTCTCCAGATGATGAGATCCACATCCAGCTGGTGTCTGTGCCAATGTACGGAAATCTGACCCGGACTGAATCCCAGCAGGAGCCTCAGCAGCTGAAGGAGTATTCTTCCTTTACTATGGAGGACATCAACACTCAAAAGATCAGGTCTGCTGCAAACACGACTAAAGCAGGGATTAAAGTTCTCCGTCGTGGCGACGGAAATCCGTCAGTTGGAATAATCAGAAAAAAGTTCTGTCAAAATCTCTTCTCTCTCTCTCTCTCTCTCTCTCTCTCTCTCTCTCTCTCGCTCTCTCCTGTTGCTAATTGAAACATGCACCAGTGTTGAAACGCGTTTCTCCACCGTTCTGCACCGCCCAAACTGCAAAAACGCGTGCGCTCATTGCTCGCTCCCGCGGTGCGCACAAACACAAACTGCGCGCGCACCAGGTGCTGGGATTCTAACGGAACCAGGACCCAAATTCCCAGCAGGCTGATCTGAGGTCGGTGTTTTTAGTCGTCTCTATGTTTTTCGGGCCGGTGTTCAGTCATGACACTCTGCTGATCACCTGCTGATGAGCGGATTTCTCCTGTCAGTGGAACAGGTGAGCTGCTGAACAAGCATTAGGTCCTAGAAACACTTTCTATGCCCAGACTAGTGATCTGTTATCCATCCATCCATCCATCCATTCATTTTCATCTGTGAACATTCCAGAATATTCAGGTTGGTGTAAAGAAAATGATATCATTAATAACGGATCATGATCTAAAGCTGGTCCATGGACGTAATTTTGGGGGGGAGACAGGGGGGATATGTCCCTCCCACTTTTTCCAAAGTCAAGTTTTGACCCCTGCACTTTTTACCATCCAAAAACAATATTACGCTATATTAAATTGACACTGGTTGAACTCTAGGACCAAGCGGAAAACAACCGTTTGTTTTGAAGCCTGTTTCCCATTAGAACATACTGTAAAGATTCCCCCACCCCCCACTTCTGAAGTGAAAATTACGTCCATGAGCTGGTCTGAGGTATAAAACTCTGCCCTGGGCCTAAAGCCCTGCAGATACATTCAGTTTCTATAAACAACAACAACAAATAAATAACAGCAGCTGCATTGTACTTTGTTCCTTAAATTGAGTCACGTAGTTTTGCAAGTTCTGCAGCTCACACGTTCACCAGGGAGCTCTGCCAGCTGATTGGTTCTTTTGGTACCTAGTGCAGTTCTGGTGCTGAGCAGCATGGATGCATCAGCGGATTTCACTCTAGTCTGTGTTCATAATGGATTAAGAAAGAACAGGAAAACATTGTTAACTCAAATATATCATTATAATGAACATGTATAGATACTTTATCATACCAGCCTGTAACTCTACTCTCCCCCAAAAATTCACCAAACTAATGCGTTTAAATATAAAATGTCCCAAAAACTTTTCCTGGGGGGCATGCCCCCGACCCCCCTAGAGTACTTTAATACTTATCATCTTTTTTACCTCAGAGAAATCTCAACACCCACACTTTTAAACACTGTGATGTGAACGGGTCATTCCAAATTTTTCAGAAACAAGAATGTGACCTTAAAACCGATCAAAACCTGAATAGAGGCTGCGTGTAAACAATGTGAGCACCCCCCCCCCCCCCCCCCCCCAATTATTTTCAGTCAGATGAGAATTGTTTGCTTCAATCCCTGGACTAAAGCATCTTGAAGCTTAAAGGAGCAATGTGTAAGAGTTTTACAGTGAAATAATCACTAACGCGCCTGATGTCTCAGTCCTGTAGGACTGTACATAGTAGAGAGGGACGTTGCTAGTGTTTACAGTCGGTGAACCCGCGGGGTGGCCGAGTCTACACCGAGCTAACGCTGCAGCACTAGCATTGGTGATGTACACCAGCAGGCAGTTCTGAAGTCAGACCCAGAACTTATTTCTTGTACCCTAAGGACACGGTTTCTATAGGTGCTTGAAATCCTTGAAAATGATTAAAAATATGTTAAAATTAAAGAAAAAAGAAAGAAAAAATGTGATTAAAAATAATAATGTAAGGAAAGAGAGAAAGAAAATGAACAGGAAAAAGGGAAATCAGTGGATCCCGGGAAAGAGCAGAACAAGGAGAGGGTGGTGATGAAGGTCCCACCAGAGCCTGAACAGGTGAGTTTAAAGGAGACCACTGAGTCCACTGGGTTTCCTTTTCTTGTTCATTTTCTTTCTTCCTTCTCAGTTTTTAAATAGAAATATTTTAATAGACTTTCTTTTATTTATATATAATTGAATCTTTTTTTTCTTTTTCTTTTTTGTTCTTGTGATTTTTGTCTTCTGTTGTTTATCTACTCACCAGCTTACTGTGTACGACTCACCTTCACTGGTCTTCTTGAGTCTTCTGGTGCTGATCCGTAACTCACAGAGCGCCAGTGAGAAAGTCACTTTATACTCATATCATTAAAATATAAAAATCCTCTCAAACTAAGGTTGAGATGTTTTTCTCTGCTCTGAGGACTCGAGGAGGAGCGCCATGTGGATTCCACTCAATAACGGATAAAAGGGCTTCAGGACTCTGGAGCAGCAGCCATCGCTGCTTTCTTTAGTCTTCCTAAACGCAGACATTACCAGGAAGTCGGAGGCAAAGAGCCTCCTTTGTTGCAGTCGCTGGCTGCCAGTTAGCACAGCTCTGAGATGACCTTCTAGTGGTTGATGAGAGGCTTAAACATGCCAAGTGCTTCTTTCCATGATGCAGATTCAGATCACCTGCAGACAAACAAACTGTTGGACTATTGTGGATTGTAACCCGAGCTGGGATCATTCTGTATTAGTTTAGATTGGCTGCTGCAGCCGTCCACAAAGGAAAAGTAAATGAAACCTTCTACACACACCTTCGTGGTGCGATGGAAACAACTACTAATGATCAAACACAGTCTGGTTACACTGTAACACTGTTGACTCCTTCTGCAGGTACGTCACATCTTTGGAGACAGGAGGTCAGCCAGTAACAGACAGCTTCCACTTTGTTGTTCATGATGGTGACGACAATCGCCTTGACAACCAGATGTGCACGGTCACCATCACGTCCATGCCCAGACAGCCCCTGGTGGCCACGGTGCGAAGCGGCATCAAGGTACGTCTGTCCTGTGTTTGGGTGGCTACGCCAGAACAAGAGATGTAACGGCGCTTACACACTGGCGTCAGCACTGTCGGGTTTAGTCAAGCTGGTGGTCGGGTTCAGTCTCGAACGGGCGGTGTAGTGTTCACATATAAATCTGAGAGACTTCTCGGGAATACAGAAATCCCCGAGCCTGTGGGCGGAGCTTAATACGTGCGGGAAAGTCTGCGGTGTCCTCCATTTTAAGGTAAACAAAAGGCGGACATGAGCTGTTGCTGCTTTTGGAGACTCTGAACCACATTATTTTATTAATTTGCTGTGTGTGTCCTCATGATCTTGTGCCACACAATCAATCCAGGGTTTCCCCCAGCGCTTTGTAAGCCTGGCTACCCCCCACCCCACCCCCACCCCTTGGAGGAGCGCTGCGGGAAGGAGCGCGCAACCCCTCCCCTCCCCCCCTCCCCCCCACAGAGGAGCGCTGCAGGAAGGAGCGCGCGACCCCTCCCCTCCCCCCTCCCCCCCACAGAGGAGCGCTGCAGGAAGGAGCGCGTGACCCCCCTCACCAGGGAGGCGTCCAGGAGACATCCTAACCAGATGCCCGAGCCACCTCAACTGGCTCCTCTCGATGTGGAGGAGCAGCAGGTCTACTCCTAGCCCCTCCCAGATGACCAAGCTTCTCACCCTATCTCTAAGGGAGAGCGCAGCCACCCTGTGGAGAAAACTCATTTGGGCCTCTTGTATCCGCGATCTCTTTCTTTATTATTGTTATTAATACACTTTTATTTTTTCAGGTTTGTAAACAGTAACCAGGTTCCTTAAATCCGGTCTATGTTCTCCTCTGTTCCAGGTTCAGGAAGGCGGTCGTGTGCTGCTGTCCACCAATCACATCGCTGTGTTGGACGATGACTCCTCCAGAACTGACCTGCTGGTTTGGATCGTCGCTCCTCCCAAATACGGGTTCATAGAAAACATCAACAGAGGTGCGTTTCAGAGCTCCGCTCCAGAGAATCGGCTGTTTTTATCCGACCCAAACAAACCGTTGTTCGGGATTATCCCAAAGTTTCTGCTTGTGTCACATTCTAATAACTCCGGCTGCAGCTGGAGCCGTTTCTGCGGTTCCAGAGCAGATCTGATGCTTCCACCTTCATCGTTTCTGAGAGGAACAGATTGGGAAAATTAGGGTCCATATTAGGGCTGAAACGATTCCTCGAGTACCTCGAATAATTCGAGTACAAAAAAGCCTCGAGTCAAATTCTCTGCCTCGAGGATTCGTTTAATTCATATTTAATTAATTCATGGCTTTGCAATCGCCCGGGGTCATGTTTCACCCGGACTGAAATAAGTGACGCACATGCCCACTGAACTGAATGCACACGCGAGTAGCGAATGTAACTTAACTTTCTCTTAAGCCATGGCGGACAACGTGGACCCCGGTGGAGTGCGAAAAAGACAGAAAATGTCAAAGGTGTGGGACCATTTTTCACGTCGTAAGGCAGAAAACGTAGTCCAGTATAAATACAGTAAAATGGATTTAGCCTACCACAACACCACATCCTCCTTGCTGCAGCACCTGACATCCACATGTAAATGTCCCTTCTGCAAGCGGACTCGGAGCCTCTACAAGATAATGCATTTTAGCCTGTATTTCTATATATTCTGCAGACACTGTGCGACTTTTTCGTTTGTAGCACTCAAGTTTCAGCTCACACCGTACATCTGGTAGCAACACGTCGGACTTAAAATGTGCTAAAAAAATAGCAGTTTTTACACAATATGTCGGTCTTTTTATTGTGTTGTTATTGATATTTGTTGTCCCTCGGGGTTGCTGCAGGAGGACACGGGTATTTGAGGAAAACGAAAGAAAGTAAATAAATGTTTTGTGATCAGTGTAATTTGACAAAACCACAGCAAACATGCTTTCTCGACAATCCTTGTTGTTGTGTGAGAAAAAAGTGTAGAAATTTAAACGGACGTGTGTTAATAGGGAAACAGCCGGCGAGCTGTTTGCGCATGCGCCGTGAGCGGTTCTGGTTCTGTTTGGGCCGCAGCAGCTCGCAGTACTACTTCAACAGTTATCCTCCTAGTTTTTGTCTGGCTTGCAGGCTAGTAGATTCTCCCACGAGGGGAAAATCGGCTCAGGTTGTATACTTATTTTTTGCACAGGCAAAAACCCTGAGGTCAAAAGATGGGATGGTTTCAAAATGCTTGTTCATGAATTGGCCGGTTTGAGAGTCATCGAGAAACTGAATTAATCAGGAAGTAATTCCTGTTTTATCGAATCACATTGTTGATAAATTTGGCAAATCAGAATTTGACACATTTGATGGCATTACCAAAAATACCTCAGAATGTCACTCCTTCAGTCAGATCCTCAGAGAGGTTAACTCTTTGTGTGAATGAAAATGTTCAACATTAATAATAATCTTATGTAACATACCAAAAGGGTCCATTTTCACCTATATATTGACCAACATAATAACCTTTCTCAGATGGGTCATCTTGGACCAAAAGGGAGGACTCGGCGTGGGAAGCCGGACCTGTAGAGGAAGGTTCAGTGATGTACTTTTATTTCTTCTGAAAACATGTCAGAACTGACAAAGCTCCTCGGATGAGAAGCAAAATGTTTTCAAGAAATCAAAGAAGTCCCGTTGCCTTCATTTGAACCCTTTTGGATTTTCTAACAACATGACTCGAAATGCAGGTAGTTCTCAACCAAAAGGGGGTGGATGTGTTGTTCTCATCAGCTGAAATGATGAAAGGATTTTCTAAATGTGTTTTAGGATCAGTGACATATGTATAACAACCTGGCCAGAACGCCAACTTTCACCCTGATTAGTACTAAAACACTGAATGACAGTATGGACCCTACATTCCTTACCTGCTGTCTGGATCGCCTGCCTACAAAC